TGATAGCTGTTCTTGGCTACTTCCAAATGTGTTAATCTTGGTGACGTAATTAAAAAAAATTCCTTTTAGGTTTTTTTTTATAAATTTTCTGTTTCGTGTTGAAAATCTGTTTGAAAATTTCGATCATTTGTATCACTTTTTATTACCAAAAAGTCTTTTAACCTTTTTTAAATATGATTTCAACCATTGGTCATCGATTCAACCAGTCGACATCAGCTTTTTTAAGTTGTCTGTTATTTCAGGATTGAATACAAAATTTCTTCATAACTTTGTCAAAGTGTTTTCGAACGACGATGATTCTCTTTTTCCAAAAAAAGGCTCTTTTTGTTAGCCAATTATTGGCGCACGAGAAATCACTCACTTATTGCTAAAACAAAAATAGAATATCAGTAACGCCTAATGATGCAGTTTCTCGCCGCCAACGGGCAAACATGAAAAGCTAAATAACAGCTAACTTACTAAAGCATTGAATTGAGGAGGGTTCGATTTCCTAGCTCTTACTTTCTAAAGCAACTTAACTTCCACCCTATGATGTCTATTAAAATTGTAATGACCTTGCCGGAGGGTTTAACAAAAGAAAAAGAGAAAAAAACTAATAACCAATCAACTACGAACTACTTCCTAGTTTTTACTTAACTACGTAATTCTGAAAAGTCAATTCATATTGCCTAACGTCAGTGCACATGCGGAAGTCAGTCTAATTGCGCTCTAGCTCCTTCCTCAGCGTCAAACGTTGCAGTATTTTTTTTTTCAAGTTTAAACTTCATAAACTCCACCAAATTTATGCGTAGTATATTAGACTTTCCGAAAACTACATAATTACGACACCTCAGTGACGTTTGGTGGTTTAAAAAGCAATTATGAATAGAAGTTAATTGAAAACAAAGATAATTGGGAAAAAGAAAGCCTTCCACCTTCCTCAGATTAAGTTTAAAAGCTGCAAATTTGCGAATATATAAAGAAGGAGTTTAAAAATCGAGGAGTCGATTATTGTATGAGTTTTCGGTTCTTAGAAGCCTGGAATAAAGACTGAACTAAAGTTGTTTTTTTTTCACCAGACAAAATCAACGCATCATATGAAATGTGTAATATATTAGCTACCGCATGGGTTATCGATTATTTCATTGCGTTCGATGTGCCAATTTATAATACAATCTACAAAGGAAATTATCGCGTACGTCAATAAGAATCATGGCTCACAGTAAAAAAAAAACTGATGAAGCAGAGTATAATTCCAATCTGTCACCTAAACAATATTTCATTTTAGTTTTTTGGCCTTAGTTAATTTCCCCGCTTTGCGTTTCCTTCAGTCACGCTTTCTTCCTGTGTATACTCGTCGTGCGCCTTTAACATTTTTTTAAGGTTTCAAACTGGAGCCGAAGCTTTTATAATGGTGTTTTATACAAGATGTAAGCAGGAGTTGTGGTTGTTATTGTTTTTTAAAAAAACAAAACGAAACAAAAACAAAATAAAAACAGAAAAAAAATTGAAAGAAATGTTTTCTTTTACTTACCCATAAAATACCCTAAAAGGGGTTATAAAATATAGAAGAAGAAAAAAAAGGAAGAAAGAAAAAAGAAGAAAAGAAAGTAAGAAAAGAAAACTATATTTTGTTTGTGTCCTCCAGGTGACGCTATAAAATTGAACTTGAATAATTCGAATCACCTCAGGTGGCACAATTTTATTTGTTTTCCGACTCAGACTTTTTCTGCATCTACTCTTTCTGAATCCATCAATGACGAGAGCATAGTTTTTTAATACACATTTTTTATTTTTTGTCAGTTACATCATTGTTTTTAAGCGTTGCGCAAACTATAACTAGCTGCCAAAATATTCTGAGACACTCAGAAGAAAAATTAGCCTGTTCCAAGCATTCAGATACTAGAGCGCGGGCAAAAGATTAGTTGATTGCGAGCTCCCTAGTCTCCTTTCGTTTTCTAACTTGTGGGGACGCGCGAGCGTACCACGAGTTATTGCAGGGACGGGGATATGCAAATGAGTCACTCGCTCTCTCGTAGTAGACGGACGTCGTAATTAATCGGGTCCGAACTCGAGAGTGCGAAGATCTATCGTTTCCGAAGAAGAACGCGCTCACCGAAGTTCGATGGTATCAAAATCTTTGCCGAGATCGTGCATCGTTCGCTGCTCAGACTCAGAGTTTTCTTTGTGGCAAATTTTCCACAGCACGGTTAGAGGTCTTACCAAATTTAAGACATGGAGGAGTCTTTTAGATGAGTACGATGGTTAACTTGGGGATTGGATTTTAAGAGCCTTTGACTCGTCCAGGCGTTAAACTTGACACGAGAAGATGAGCGTTTGCTCTTCGACTCCGCCGCAAGATCACGGGGGATATATACTGAATTCTGGTTTGCTTGAAAGTGATCTGAAAGTGACAAAATGTAAAGCCATGCCATTCTTCAGAACCTGTATGAGACAAAAATGGATATGATTTTGATCATTAGCCTCAAAACTACAGCGGAAATCGAGATAACAGAACAATATGTTTTGCGTGCTACTTCGCAGACGAGGTTTATCGGCTTTTTGTGAAGCGTGATTATGTTCTTTCATTACAATTCATCGCCATGGAATGCGTTAACATTTTTTTTTCTCGGTTAATGCGGCTCGATCATCTTCAAACGGCGAAAGCTCCATGAAAAAGGCATTAAATTAAAGACTTTTCGCCAAAGTTATGTAATCAGCTTTAGTGGTGTAGTGGTAAGGTATAGTCTCGTCAAGCTGAAGGTGCGGTGTCGACTAGTACTCAATACTTTAATTTCCTTTTTTCCTTCCTTCTTTCTTTTTTTCCGTTTCTGTTTTATTTCGTTCGCTTATTTGTTTTGTTGTTTTTCTATAAATATATGCCTAAATAACTGTTATTTAATAGAGTGTAATAAACAGCAAGAAAAGTATCGTGTTTCCAATAAACAATCCGAATTTCTATCATTTCCCACAATTTACAGTGGGAAAACCAGAATTGATAACTATCATTTGATTATTTTCTAAACAACGTTCCCACGAGTTGACGATAGTCTTTCTTTGATTTCCTCTCGTGCTCCATTATCGCTCATCGCCTACGATTTAACTCTCTCCCCACTGAACGCCTGGAACAGGATAGAGAAAAATCTGCTCTCATTCAATTAAAACCGCTGCCGTAGTCAAATAACTGTAGGGTATAAGTTTCACTCCCTCCCTCTTCTCTGTTCAAATTTTTCCTCCAAATATGCCACTTCCGAGTTCCAAAAACCCTCACTTTCTAGGCGCACAACCTTTCTTGTGAAAATGAGTTTTATTTGCATGAGAATGAAAAATGATTTCCATATCAAAGGCTGGCCACCTACCCTCGTTTTGAACAGAGGTCCGGGGGAACTCGGAAATGGCCTATTACGGCTGGTCTTGTATTGCCAGCAACTTTTATAAGCCGTGGAGGCGATTAACATCAGCATGTCGCTTTCAATTTAATGTTACAAAGAAAAAAAAAACAGCAATTAGTTGGTTCATTCTTAAAATATGGGCATAACCACGTTTTGCTGGAGAAAACTTTAAGGCTCTATCAAATTCGTTATTTAACACGTCTAAAATGAAGGATTTATTTTGAGCATGCGCTCTTTCATCACCTGTCACATTCTTGACAGGCAGGAGCCCATGCTCATGTGACAGGCTATCATGTGTACAAATCGGATATGACCAGATCTCGCCTTGGGCTTCGTCAACAAGAGTTCTGAGAAGGAGATTACACAAAGGCCCCAAAATGCCACATCTGCCTAGTTATTTACAACCCAGGCTTTATTTGTATGCAAATGTGGCAAAACCATCTTTGCCATATATTTAGTCCTCATTATCTATATATTTTCAAGGAGCAAATTTGGGCAAAATTCTGAGCCTTTCCTCTACATTTCACTCACAATGAATTTAGTGCTAGTTAACCCTCGCATGTGCACGCAAATTCATACCCCAATCGTGGTACAAGGAGGGGGAAGGAGAGTGGGGGTGGATGGGACCCGTCCCCGGAGTTTTTGATACGTTGCAGTATTATTGTTTAGTCCGATTGGGGTAGAAAGAAAAAGTGTAAAATGTAAGGATGGAAATTTGGAATTTATATATCTGGCACAAACACAAACTGGTAATTATCATCATCTGTCAGTGAGTAATATTTTAAGTTTATCAACTCGATCCAACCTCTTTTGGAGCTGAAACAGAGTGCATTTGTTTTACGACAAAGACATGTATTGACAAAGTGATTCTACCTATATGCCTTTTTTTTTTTGTCATCTTCCCATAAAGCTATATCGCGGGGCACTGTAAATTTTCGGTTCTTTAATTTTACGTATGGCCAAATAGAGGGACTTGATTATTGCGACTGTTGAAGGTTTTCCTTATTGGAAATAACAGTGATTTTTAGTGATTTTTTTTAAAAGTGATTTTCAGCTAACTTAAATTTTAAACGCTTTGGCGTTTAATCGCGGATACCAATTTAATCTCGCACTCGCATTCTGATCCAAAGATCAGAGGCACAAAAAATTAAGTGTAATACACACACGTAGTGACCCATATTCCCACTCGCAATTTCATACCAAGAGCCACTTGGGACCTATTATGGCTCTTGTTCATACTTGACCCTTTGCCTACCGCCAGCGAGTAGCGGCAAAACCGGATTTTTCACAAATTCCTCTTTATGTTATTTAGCATGGAAATGGCTAAAATGAGTTTTGCAACAGTAAACTAGGCATTTTCCGACTAATCGGATGCAAAGTAAATGGGTTCTTTTTGCGAAATAGGCAGTGAACTTTTCACCAGAGCTGTTACTTCTTTTTTTGTATATCACTCTGTCAGGATTGGTCAGAATTTCCTAAACGAATTATCGATGGAGCGGCATCTTTGCTGACGTTGCTGCGTCAGTACCAACTAGGAAGAAAAATATACATGTTCTATATGGAACGAAAACGACCCAAGAAGTCTTCAAAGGGTTAATAATCCATGACGATCTCGGATGACTACAACAACTCTCTTCACTACAGCATGGAATGACGTAAGAATAGCTTGAATAAAGGCCTTATGAATTTCCAAGTAAGTCTAAAATAAGTATAAAGTCTACTGAGACAACCTGTCAACTCGTAATCGATTGAATTTAAAAGTTTTTGCTCTTTGAGACTCTGATTCATCGGGAGAAACATAGCGTTTCATAAGCAACAAAGTAATAATGTTGGTATCCAACGAGGCTAAGTGCAAAACCTTTCCTGGTTTCTTTTGCCTCATGAGAGTAAAACATCATTTTCATAGCAATGGGTTCGACTTGGTTTCGCTTCAAAACAGAGGCTCAGTGGAGCAACTCGCGCGGAAATGGCCTACTAACAGTCACGTGTCAACAGAAGTTCTTTGTAGGATTTTTATGCTATTTCCAAAGAATTAAACGTATAATGAAAACTTGCCAATACTCTTTTTTCTAACAGTGGCTACTAAAACAAATTTGCGTGCAGCCTACGTGACAGTCACGTGTCAACGGGAGTCATGGTTCTTTCCTCGTGCAGGGCATTGTCAATCTTGCTTTTTACTCCAATCGATGATCTTAGAGAGGCACTGCTAGGTTCTTTTGTACAACTTGGTTCATTTGTCACTTTGCTTGACCACAATCCGATTGTATTGCGGTTTTCTTGAGAGTTTTTCACGCTTTTTGCCGCATTCCTCTTCTGCATTTTTCTGGAGTATGCTGCACGTACGTCGCTGTTTCTCAAAACGTGAAGTATGAAGATGAACAAACCCTAAAAATGTGTGTATCGATAAATAAAAAGAAAGTTAAGTTCCTTCATAAGGGTGAGAGAAAAGAAGAAATGAAAGCAAAATTATAGTCAATGGTTAATCGCAGTACATGGTATCAGGTACCGCCCACCATCTCTACTATTCTATGTTAATGTTAATTTTCTCGATCGCTACATTCCTTGACACTACTGTCAAAGTCTGGAGTAAACTTCGAATGCTTGTGTGGCAAAACATATAAATAAATAAATGAACGAATGAGTATGTATCGGACTATATTTTAAAGTATTATCCAACATTTTAATTTATTTCACAATTTTCACAACTCTGCAGATGTCGCTATAGTTACTAGAGAAACTACTGAGTCTTTTTCAACTTTTATTGAAAGGAATAATTATTTTCAGAGTCGATAACTCCTTGAGTGTTTTAAGAACGAGTATATTTCCATCTAATTTTAACTATTTCAGTGATTCGATAAGTTTTTAAGAACGACTATACACCAATAATTATGTGAAGCTCATGTAGTGTTTTCACTGTATCAGTTAACAAGCCATCTGGGTTATTATAATTTGTTTTCACCAAAGATACAACTGTACGTTTTCATTCTTTCACAAACATGTTATCATTATTTTTGAAGAGAAAATCACACATTAAAGATATTGAAGTAATTCCTTTGTTTGTTTTTTTTCCCTTTGTTTAACCCGGAGTCTCTCCTTTATTATTCATTTATTTTATTTTAGTTCATTCATTCTATCATTTATTTTATTTCATTTTATTATTAAATATATATATATATATATATTTTATTTTTATTTTTTTTATTTTTTATATATTTTTTTTCTCCTTTTCCTCTTCTCTCTTCTTTATTTTTAACTTTCCAAGAGGTTGACATGACTGCTTTGCAGTTTGCCGGTCCCTCTTTTCCCCTTTCATCTTCCTATCATCGTTCTTATTATTTTTACCTTCTAACCCCTCATCCTCTTATACTTATCCTAATCCTATTTTGAGGTTGACATAGCTGTTTGACAGTTTGCCAGTCCCTCAATACTTATTCTTTTTATTTTTCAACTTTAATATTTTATTTAATCCTATCCTTATTAAAATTTCAGTAATTTTTACTTTCTACTAAATCATTTTTTGCACTTCTTTGAGGTAGACATAGCTGCTCTGCAGTTTGCCCGTCCCTCATTATCAGTGCTAATCTTAACATCTAACTTTTTTGTTCTGTTTTTATACACACAACACCCTTGTATACACGCATCCTCCCTCCCCACCTTACCCACTATTTTAGTGGAGACTTGGGAACCCTTTCATAGCGGAGCTCCCGCGCGCGCGAAGCGCGCGCGCAGCGGAGCACCATGGGTAAGAAAATTTGGTAAACCATCCATCCCAGAAAATTTGGTTATGACGTAGAGTACGCCCGTCCGTACACACACTTCATGTAAGCCGATGTCAAATGTCACAATAGATCTTGCACAACTTGACTAGCCTCTTAGATATGTAAGCCATCCGTATGAGTACGATTAGATTGACAGCTGTCAAAATCAGACATCCGCTGACAATTATCACATGACCGTCTCGCGGGCTCAGATAAAAGACCAGTCGTTTTGCCCCTATATATAAGCTGATATAATATGTCACACTTACCAATTCAACATAAAAACGAAACTACGCCGGGCAAGGCTGTCAGTTGGCTGACAGTCGTTTAAAGTTACATTGGCAGGCCAAATTAAGGTCAATTGACAGCTGTCAAAATGGGACATGTGCAGACCGCTATCAGAAGGGCTAAGGTTCGCTCAGGTACACGATCTGGCATTTTGCACTACATGCCGGACGGAAATGTCCTACTCACACTCGTGGTCTGTTAATTCGAATATTCGCCATTCTAATGAAGGTTAATTGACAGCTGTCAAACTAGAGTATACGCTGACCATCATCACCTGAGTGGATCGCGGGCTCATTTTCTATCTATTGAGGTCACGTAGTGTTTAAAGTTTGCGCTGATATTTTATTTGATCACGGGCTCAATTCGAAGCCCCATAGCTTTATAGAAAATCTATCCATCCTAGAAAATTCGGCAATCACGTGACCGTACGCCGACCACCCGACCCTCCGTCCGTCCGCACCACAGGCATACCAATGTTTAATCTCACACTTTCTAGCTAGTTTGGGAGCCTGCAACCTGATATTGTACTTCCATGTTTTGATTAATTGACAGCTGTCAAAACAGTGTTTCTGTTGACCAGTATCGCCTGACCGTATCGCGGGCTCAGGTATCGACCTTTAAAATGCATATGAAATAAGTCGTGTTTCATGAGCCGCACTTTTAAAATGTTGATTTCGAATTGATCTCGGACACGAAAATTCAACCGACTTTTACATTTACATGGGAAGGCAATCGCTTTTGACTTTTCTCACTGTCACGCGTTGATCACGCTCTACGTCCAATTTTTATGTTCTGATTGGTCAAAATTTGACAGGTGAGTTTATGCGGAAAATTTTTGCAGCGTCTGGAAACTTGCTTACTGATAGCTGGAGCTGAGAGAGTTTTGCGCCATCTTGTGATGCTTTAAACTGTATTTTTCTACTTGGTGTAAAAAATGAAATACAGCTGCTATCAAGATTGTTCTGTACATGTAATTCGTGGCTGGTTTGTTTATTGCGCTTTTTGTTGACAAATGCACCGCTTGTCAAAGTCATTGGAAATCCGATTTCGGATGGCATCGTTTTCAAAAATGAGCTTACTCACTTGCCCTTGCTTGAGGCGTAAGAAGGTTGAAAAGTCCCCAGCGATTCTGGAACACTTGATGACCTTCAGAAGCAGCATCTCGACTGGTAAGCTTGAGCCATTATTGTTTTTGATGTTTTTTTTTTTTCGGTTTCCTGAAGTCGAGCGTATGGTTTATGCGGCTTAAGTTAAAACACGAGCAATGATCTAACCTACAATAGTATCAGGTTTAAAAAGCCTTTAGACATTTTTTGACCCGCAAATTCAAAGAAAAGGTTCCGAAGATTATTTAGTTATGTTTTGGGCTGTAAACAGAAAGCTCTGAGCGATTTTCTTGCCTCGAGTTCATCTTGAAAAAGAGCGAACACCGGGAAGCTGGCTTAAAACATAAATAAGCTTATGCTTGCCTGACTCATGATTTTCTGAGACACTTTCCTCTCAATACTTCTCTTCGTGAATGAAAATTATTGTCTCTGTACATGTTTCACCGAATTAAACTTATTTTATTGATTGTTAGTAGTCCCTCTCGCGGTTTTCATCGCTGCACCGGTTGTTTCCAGACATAAACATTGCATGTAGGAATACTCAAAACGCCGCGCGTAAATATCACTCGCTTTTAAAGATTACAAAACAAAATCATACACAGTTTAATGAATAAAGGGAAATAAAACCTAAACATAACAATTTCTCTTTCATGTTGAAGCGTAAATGGTAACTCTATTAATCGCACTGCAAATTTGGTGCCTGTCAAAAGTGAGAACCCATCCGGCTGGCCGAAAAGTGATTTTAAGGACCAGATTTTTCTAACAGAAAACGTTTTATAATTCAATGCTATAATTTGTTGTGCAAAGGAAGCGCGTGCTTTGATCGTCGTGGATATTGAATGAGTGCAAATTCTCTTGCAAAATTGTGAAAAACTGCAGAATTATAAGTTTAAATAGGGCAAAAAAGAACAAATTCTGTCCGAGGTCTGTGTACTGTTTACCTGAGACGTGATGAGAAAAAGTATGTTTAAAAGGCTGGTTTACACGCCACCAGATTCGTCACCAAGATTTACTAGTAAACTAAACTTGTCGAACACAAAAAATCCGGCCTGATTTTTATTTGGCCTTTCTTTTTAGACAGAGGAATGCAACGTGTAAATTGGCTGCCACCAAGGACTATCGTGGCGCATGTGTTTCTTAAAATTATATTTCGGGGTTGTCCAATAATATTATCCATAGTCTCTCTAACGGAGCAATGTTGGAGAGACTGGTGAATGCCACATTATGATGCTACAGCTAATGCAAATACAATACACGAATAGGTCTATTTGTTTTCCAGGCCTAATCTACTGTGATCGAACATGATTGCTATTTTTCGGTGTACAAGTAACTTGATGTAAAATTTGTTTCACTCTTGGACGGTCGAATTCTGATTTTTCTCTAAAATCACTCAGCTTTTGCCTCAAAAGTCAAATGAATGTGCCCTGATCTGTGGATTACAAGTTTATTGTTTGATTTAAATTATGAATTTATTAACGGGAGCTTCGCTTTTAGCCCTGGCTAAATCTATATATTTAGGGATTCCATACCACACCTGTAATGCCACAAAGGTTGCTAGATATATCTACTGTCCTTTTTTTTTTTTTTTTTTTTTTTTTTGTTACAAAGCTTTTTTAGCCACCAAGCTAAGATTTGATAAAATAATATTTGCTCGCTGTCAGTTAGCCTGAGAAAACAGCGGACATTGTGCGACACCACCACTGGTTTCCCTACGTAATGACGTTGGATAAACTAGCGGAGCAATTCCATACTGATCACTCGTCACTACCTGGATCTGGGTAGTGGTTCTGATTGGTTAAAATCTGCTTCATCCAATAAGAAGCACTTCCCAGATGTGGGTTTCTGACACGCCATCAGTATGGACGTTCTTCGCCAAACGTCATTTCTTGGGGAAACCAGTGGTGGCGTCGCGAAATCAGGGCACCCAACGCCAATTTTCAAAAAATATCTGTTCGGAAGACGATTTGAGATCTAGAATTTTCGGAACATTTTTTGTAAAATTTCTTGCTTGCCTGCCTCTCCTAGGATTTTCGAACATCTAAAAAATGGTATAATTGCCCATTTTTAACGGATTTTTACCCTAAAAAGGTCACCTAAAATTTTCGGGAGCCTTTTTTCTTGCTGAAATTTTTGAAAAGGTAAGTTTTGATCCCTATAATTTTCGGATCACTAGACTTTCAGCTAGGAAAGCCGAACAGATGAAAAATTTTTAGGGGATAAAAATATGCCTATATCTACCGTCTAAATACTAAATACGTTTAACAATGCTATGTTTAAGTGGTTTTGAACTATATTCTCTTTGAGTGCCCCTGCGAAATTTCGACTGTTTACTCAAACTACTCAAAAAGTTAACATGTTGGATTTTCTAGTACTATACCTGCAAAGAGTTGAAGATGGTAAAGATGTACTGAAATACGAGTCCAGCATCTGTGACACTTAGGACACCAAACACCCAGGTCAGTCCCAGAAGAGGAAACAAAACTACGCATGCTTTAACTCCTTGTCGAACTCTTTCCAGATGAGGTGTTTTGTCGGCTTGCATTCTTAGGATCTCATGAACCACTCGGGCAAGTAAAACTGAGTTTATCTGCGTGGAAACAATGCATGAGAATAAGATATCTTTTAATGGCAGAAACCTTGGACCCTGTTTCTTTCTTTCTCTCAGGTCTTGAAAATATAACTACAATAAATAAATAAATAAATATACAAATAAATGAATAAATATGTATATAAATGAAAACATAAAATATAATCGATAAATAATCGATCAAAGCTCGGACGTATGAAACATCTCAAACATATCACACCAAGTATGACGTCACAGCCTCCCCTCCACCGCAGCGCTCAATCCCAGATGTGTTTATTACCCGCAAATGAATGAATAAATGAAATGCCGTGGATAAGAGGACAATAAACGTGTCCTCTTTACAGTATATATTTACATGTTAACAGTAAGCTCTGACGTCAGCATGCAAGGGCGGCACTGGTAGCCTCTATCAGTTCATTTATGGGCTTACTGTAATCCACCAAGACTATGATATGAAAGGAAGCTAAATATTCTGGTTTTCTTTTTTCTACATGAACCGTTATTTATTTCAGTTTCACGTCTTACATTTTCATGGCAAATATTTGATGATTATATTAATTTTTAATCAGTTACAGATGAGCCTCAATATTCTGTAAGCAATCATTTTTTAACTTGTTCTCTTAACAAACTTATTCACTTATGGAACATTTTCACTTTCTTACTTACCGTGCAAACTAAGAGAACAGGCGCAACAAACGTCCAGATAAGGTTATTTTTGAAGGAAATCCAGCAACTGAAAAAAAATAAAGAAAATCAAGGTGTTTCTAAGAAAGGATTGCTTGATAAAACTTGACGGTTAAAATTGGAAATATTGAAGAAAAAGCCTACGAAGACTTATTTAAAAATTTTCAATTGTTTGAAAACCAATTGTTTAGGCCTGTAACATGAACGTGCTCATAATAATTCCTCTGAAAAAGGCAGTTTGGGCAAATTACATACATACATACATAAACTTTATTAAAGTGTCAAGGTATTTAGCTAAAAAGCTAATTGTGGACACTATAAATAAATAAAAATAATATAATATAAGATTAAATCAAGTATATGTAAAAATATTAAAAATATATTCTTAAAATATCATTAATATATAAGAATTACCTCAATATATAAAATTATTACAGACAAACACTAGGAAAAGGAACAAACAAAGACAAACAAATAGATAGACAAAACAGACAATCAGATAGACAGACAAACAAACAGACAATATAGGACAAACATATAAGCAGCAGTCAAACATAAATACAAAATTCAGAAAGTTAAAAGTCTAGACAATTTAAATTAGACGAATTAAATAGAGGATAGGGGAGCACACTCTCAATACACCAGGCAGCCAGACAGCAGAAGCCAATATGCATACCCACCACCCTAAGATGAGCATGCACAGCAGCCACACGTACCGTCCAGCAAGCCCAGCACATTGAGAGCACGCACCCCTCTCCTGAATGCCTGAAGACTGGTCTTACTGCGTAGTTCCTGGCTTATCTTGCCCCATATGTGTGGGCCTAAAAATCTGATACTGTGCTTGCCATACCTAACAGTATTATATCTCGGAACAGGAAAATCACTTCGTAAGTTATAATGCTTATCTTGCTGAAAAAACATATTACATACATGCTCTGGAGCTAGTGAATTTTTAACCTTATACGTTAAAATTAGTACATCTTGTAACCGTCTGTTCTCAAGACTAGAGAGTCTTCCCTTCTCTAGGAGTTCCTCATACGGAGCATTCCTATCATTATATACAGCACGTAATGCCCGTTGTTGTACTCTTTTTAATTTTCTTGCTTTAGATGCTTTGCAAAAATGCCACACTATGTGACAATATGTTAAGTTAGGTAAATTTGCCGATTTGTACAATTGTAACTTGGCTTCTCTCGGAATCATATTTCTAAGACGTAATAGAACACCAACTTTCTTACTTGCCATTTTGCATATATCACTTATATGAGTACTAAAACTAAGTTCATCATCTAATGTTACTCCCAGTAACTTCAAGTCTGGTGATGATTTAATAACCTGTTCATCAATCAATTTCATAAGTAACTTTGCAATAAATAAATAAATAAATAAAAAATGGTAATTAAAAAATAAACAGATTCTTGAAACCTCCAAGTTTTTCTTGCTCCGTTTTGTTCTGTAGTATTAAGATCTGGTTTGGTTACTTACAAATGATCATGAACATAGCTTTCTATCCCGCCATCTTGAATGGAAGCAATCACGATCGATAAAACCACAATCAAAAGGGAGACGCCTAACGTTTGATTGAAAACGAAAAAGAGAAAAATGAAAAGTTAGGCTCAGTTGGGTTACGTCAGCTACGTCAGTGTAGCACTCTTATGAGAAGTGTGGTGTTGAGAAGTGAGAAACTGTACAAATTCCTCTGAATAGCAAGTCTCAATTGCAAGTCCTTGTAAGTACGTAAGGAAAGTAACTAGATAAATGAGGAATCAACTGACCACTCCAGGAAATACCACAACATACCATAATGCTCTTTTTTCGTCGCCCCAAAATTTTGCATAAGCATTGTCTTCAGTTTCTCTTGGGAGTTAAAATGGCCCCAAGAGAAACTGAAACTGAAAATAATGCTTATGCAAAATTTTGGGGTTACAAACAAAGAGCATTATAGGATGTTATGGTATTTTTGGAGTGGTCAATTAACAAAATGCTTTTGATCCCGGAAGGGACTGACAAGTCAGGACCGCTTGACTAGATCTACCAACGGGCCATTTTCTGTAGTAGGCTTTTGCTTTAATACTTACCCCAAGCCACTCCGTAGAATAAACGCAATCTGATGACCGCATTGAACACTTTGACAACCATCAGATACAGATAAACACCCTCAAATAACATCCAAGCAAATCCCACCAGATAGAAGTAATGAATCATGGCTGCTACAAACACACACAGTTCCTATAAAGAAACGGGATTCACCGTCATCAAATTGCCCATAACGGCACGCTTTTTACCACCCCCTCCCCCACCCTACAAAAAAAAAGAAAAGGAAAAAGAAAAAAAAACTCTTGATGTAATGCAAACAAGCCAAAGATACTGAAGAGAACTAAAGAGCAATCGACCACTGAGCCACAAGTTTTAGGCACTGTCGTGTGTCTGTCAGTAACACTTCACTTGATCCTATGTAACCTTAGTCCCATACCTAGTGTATACCTGTTTCCTATACTAATCATAGCAGCCGAAAAAATCGATCAAGGACAATTTTTATTTCCTTAAAAAGTGACTGAATAAACTTGACTGCCATGTTTGCGAAATATTATACAGGAGTTGAACTATCGCTAAACGTCAGTGCAATCAGACTCCATTCCTCCCAAATTATCCTTTCAGGGTGGCAAAGGGGTTTTCCGTGACGCGTGATCGAACCCATTTGACCACTCCAGAAATACTGTAACATACCATAATGCTCTTTGTTTGTCACCCCAAAATTTTGCTTAATCATTGTTTTCAGTTTCTCTAGGGAGTTAAAATGGTCCCAAGAGAAACTGAAAACAATGCTCATGCAAAATTCTGGGGTGACAAACAGAGAGCATTATGGTATGTTATGGTATTTTCTGGAGTGGTCAATTAAATCAACCGCGTAAGGCGCGATTTGGCCTAGAAGCGTGATGCGTAATTTACTATTTTTACAGCGCGTGACGTGTGATTTTCCTTTGAAATTTCTGCGATGGTTGATATCATTTGAAACAAGAAGAAGACTGAGAGACACAAAAAATATATAGTTATGACAACCAACTTCTTGCACTTTTTTCTCGTTCCGCGACCACTGATTTCCTCAGATCACATAACAATAGGATAGCCAGTCCTGATACTTGTTAATGTAGTTAATATTTTATTTCATTACTCTGTAATGCGTGATAGGTATTCCCCTCCCCTCCCCCTACCCTTTGCTACCCTGTCCCTTTAGCACATTTGCGTAAAATCGAGGTAACGGGAATATGCCATCTAATGAAATTTAGTTATTTAAGACTCAACTCGTTTACATCCAACGGTCTTTCATTTTTGATTTTTGTTTTTACAGTGTTTTGGCAATCAATTTATCATCCAAGCCAACAAAATGCTCATTATTTCTTTATCTTTCAGATTAACTAACATCTTTAGCTTACCATAACTTCTGTGGCATCAATTCCAGCAAGAAACGTAATTTGTGCTATCGCTATGGCGACCACAAGGTTAAAGCGGATTTGAGTTTGGTCTTCTTTCAAATCCATGAACGAGGCAAAAAATAATTGAACCCCGTTGAAATGTTATTTTTTTCAAAGCGGGAAAATCCCTTCTGCTTCTGCTTTCTTGATTTAAAAATCATAAATGAACGTCTGACAAGCTAAGCCAGAGCCCAACTGCGCTACGAGGGGTTGTGAAGAGGGCGGCTGACTCCCCGTTCCCCTCCCTTGTGGTTTTGTTATTGTCATAATTTTGCATTTACTAAGTATTGAGACTCAATGCAAATAGTTTAGAAACAAAGCACGTCTTTGTATGCTATGGTTAAACAATTGGTGCTGAAAAATCTGTTTAAAGCGCTTGGTGGACCATGTTTTTCTGTTGAACGTCTAGTCCGTTCGAGCGCTTACTGTTTGTTGCAGGCGACAATCTTGGTTTCACTCTTCCTCAGCCGTGTTATGCTCGGTGCACTTGAAACCAAGATGCGTGAATTAAAAGCGCTTACCTCGACCTTGATTATTCTGCATATCACAAAAACCAAATCTAAATGTCCGAGCTGTATATTATCTGTAACTCACAAGAGGACGAAAAATGCAACAGCGGTGAGCGCTTCTCCGACAAGCGACAGAGCACACCCAACGTAAGTAATGACTTTCAACGCAACCTTATGATCTGCTGGAACCTGTTGGAAAGATAGTTTAAAAACTGTTTGCAAATACGCCAAATCAATAAAGACAGATATTGGAAAGAGTCAGGGCCCCTTATTATTTTACAAAGAAGTACTCTCAATGGCGAAAATAGGCGTAGCCTCCTTATTACTCGAGTCACTAAAACTATAAATGACAATGTGAAAAAGGGTTCATGGCGCAACGATTGTAGATGCTCCCCTTAGTTTTTTTAACATTCATAGTAGAGTAAAAACCCGCGAGTAAGAACCTGTATTTTCCCAATTTAGCCTAAACAGGTTCTTACATAAATGGTAATTAGCACAAATTTATAGTCTATCTAGGTTCTTAAATAAGTTCTTATTTCTGAAGAAAAAATACACTGAATATTTAGAGGCATTCAGTTTATTCTTTATATCAAATCTGAATAACAAATTAAAATTTATGTAAAAATCAATTTAAGGAGAAAAACTAAAGCAGTGATAACATGAATTTTAATGTACTTTTACATGTATTGTAATGCCTTGTCTCAGCTCCAACAGTTAAACCCTTATGCAATAATATCGTTTAAATAACAGTATGTAGCTCAACTATAAATTGAAATTTTTGAAATTTATGGAAGATATCTATATTTTCACATCTACCTCTCTGGAAACTCCGATGCGATAGAGTCCTAAAGGTGCTTCTGTAGAGGTGCACTAACAAACAAATTTTAGCCTAAACGGTTCTTAAAATCTCGGTTCTTACCCGCGGGTTAAGTTATTGTATTGAGACATGCGGAAAACAAGCCAAAGCTGCCCCAACTAACCTCATTGTCTACTCCAACGTGCATAAGAACAGCAAAGTTTGTGAGGTGGTTACAGGTGCATGTGATTTCCGTTTTGGTTCTATTGACCACTGAACATCCTTTGCTTGACCAAAAACCGTTGAAATTTGATCTGAAATATAGTTTCGTAGTTGTATGACTGCTTAAAGGGAAAGGTCAATCAAAGGACAGTAGTTTATCAACCCTAACGGCATAAAGGTTGGTAGCGAGATGTTTTCTGTATAGCATTGTCTAATTATTATCTACAATAACTAATATAGATTTAGCCAGGGCTAAAAGCGAGGCTCTCATTATATATTTATAATTTAAATCAAACAATAAACTTGTATTCCACAATTCAGTTAACTTTAGAGCACATAGCACATTCATGTGACTTTTGAGGGAAAGGCTAAGTGATTTTAGAGAAAAATAATTTGCAAACAGCCCAAGAGTGAACAAAATCTTACATCGAGTTGATAACCTCATATGTACACCCAAAAAATAGCAATCATCTTCGATCACATTTAAGAGCCATAATGGCTCTTGATCACCGTAAGATTAATTAGGCCTGGAAAAAAAATCAGGTTGAATTTTTTTGCGTTCGACAAGTTTACTTTACAAAATCTTGCCAACAAATCTGGTTGCGTGTAAACAACCCTTTTATACCATTTATACATCACATCTGAGGTGAAACAGTACTATGAGGTACTGTTTTAATCATACAGACCTCGGACAGAATACAGTATTTCACAGTTTTGCAAGAGAAATTGCACTCATTCAATATTCAGGACGATCGAAGCACGCGTGGGCTTTTAGCTAAACCGTTAAAAAAATGTCCAAAATCACGTATACAGCCAGCCGGTTCTCACTTTTGCAGTGCGAGCTGTAGCGAATGTTTGAACGAACATACTAGAGTTAAGCTCCAACACAATAAAGAAATTATTATGTTTATTTCTTATTTAATGGTTTTATCGATCTGTAATCTTTAAAAGCGTTTGATACGCGCGGCATTTTGAGTACTCCTGCAAGCGCTGTTCACTGAACGACTGAAAACAAACGGCACAGCGATTAAAATTACAAGAGAGACTACCAGCAATCAATAAAGGAAATATAATTCGGCGAAACATATACAGAGACAACATTTTTCATTCACGAAGACAAATATTAAAGTGTCTCTAAAAATCCTGAGTCTTCAAGCTTAAAGCGTAAGTTTATGTTTTAAGCCGGCTTCCCGGTATTTACTTTTTACACAGATGAACTCGAGGCAAGAAAATCGCTCAAAGCTTTCTTTTACTGCCAGAATTATAACTAAATGTTCTATGGAACGTTTTCTTTCTATCTGCGGTGAGAAAATGTCTAAAGACTTTTTAAAGTTGTGTAAGCTTTATATATCAAGTTTACCTGATTCGTGGTCAGATCAAATTGTCTCAAATCTTACAAACGTGCATAAACTACATAGCCGCATAAACTACGCTCGACTTCTTTAAATTAGATATAAAAAACAAACATCAAACACAATAATTACTGGGGCTTACCATTCGAGACGCAGCTCCTGAAAGGTATCAAGGAAGGCCAGTGTCGCTTCAGAGTTTTCAGCCTCTACGCGCATCAAGCAAGGTGAAAAACAAAAACGTTGACACCCGAAATCGGATTCCCAACTTTGACAAGTGATGTATTAATTTCTCAACCAAAAACCAACTAGCCATGAATAACAGAAGGCTCCTGATAGCAGCTAAATTTCATTTTGTGCATCCAGTGGAAAAAGACAGTTAAAAACATCACAAGTTGACACAAAACTCTCTCAGCTTCAGCTGTCAAAGTAAACAAGATTCAAAATGCTGCATAAATTTTCCGCATGAGCTCACCTGTCAAATTTTGACCAATCAGAGCTTTAAAAATGGATGTAGAGCGTGACCAACGCGTGACCATGGTGAGCAAAGTCAAAAGCAAGTGTCTTGCTTGTAATAGCTGGCTGAATTTTCGGGTCCGAGGTCAGTTTTAAATCAAAATTTTAATTGTGCAGCCCAAAAACAAAACATATTTCATATGAATGAAAAAAAATCAAACTTGAGCCTGCGATCATTTGAAAACTAGTAACTTGTCAGCGGATAACTTCAAAAAAATACTTGACCTCGATGGGTTAACACCTGAGCCCGCGATACCGTCAAGTGATACTGGTCAGCGGATACCCTGTTTTGACAGCTGTCAATTGATCAAAACATTGATTTCTAATGGATGTGTGCATTATCAGTTTTCGTGTGCTCTCAAACTAGCTAGAAAGTACGAGATTGAACATTGATCGCGATCTAGTAAAACAACTGGTCAGCGGACAGCTTCCAAATAACTCACGTCACCTTGATGAGTTGACACATGAGCCCCCGATATGGCAATGTGATACTGGTCAGTGGCTATCTTGTTTTGACAGCTGTCAATTGACCATATCGTGAATGGCCAATGTAAAAGATGTGGATTTGCTAAGACACGCCTGAGACACCCCTCCCTTCCTTTTGATAGTCTCCCCTACCCTACCCGTACAATCTGTAGACGCGTACGTACGTACGTACGTACGCTCGGTCAGTCACGTGACAACCAAAAGAAAAGAGGTTGACCATATTCCATGAGTATGGGGCTCTGTCCCACGCGCGCTTCGCGCGCGAGGGAGCCCCGCTATAAATCAACTCATCAGTTCGAAGAACCCCTGATGTAGTTAAGTCCTTAATAAGTGCGTGTTGAAAAATTTTGTCACACTTACTTGGCAGTAAAATCCCAGAAGACACAATGTGCCTCTAATCCCTTTTAAAAAAAGACATTTAAAGTTTCAGGTAAGATAAAACTAGCAAAAATCAAAGAAAGATGAATGACTCGTCTGCGTCGTAAATATTTTTATACCTGGTACTAAGTAAAAGCGACAAACGAAACACAAAAGAAAGAAAGTGCATAATTTTACAACGCCTTATTAAGGGGTTACATCGTGGCTAGACCACGAGCGGTCGTCAGGTTCTTACCTCATTGCCATGCCCGGCGAGCGAAAAATTGAAAGTATGCAAATTAATGGTAAAAAGGACTGCCCTTGTTCCTCGCGGCTTTGGTGCTCGCCCCTAACCCATGCTCTCGACCTACTCTGTCTCAGAAGAAAAATAAGAGCCAGCTCGCAGTCTACATCGTGGTGAGCAGTCCGCAAGTTTTAAGCCATTCAGATTACGAAGAAAAAACAAGAATATCCTAAAACAGTGTAAGCAGTTATCAATCAATCCCTTCTCGGCTAGAGAAGTTAGCCTACTCATTTTCTATAAGTAGATTTTAATCACAGTTATGAATTAACTTACTAGCTAAAGAACATACCTTATCGTAACGTAATATGACTGACAGGTTTTGCTGGAGGATGACCTGGGGCCTGGGATCTAATGTGCTGCCTATTATATTACTTAGCGTGAAGTTCATGATAGTTTTACTGTTAGAAAAAATTGAAAAGAGAATTTATGATTACAGTGTCCTAGAAATCTCTCTGCAAAATTTCAGTGCAAAGACTTTTAAAAGCAGCTTCTGAAAAAATTGGCCACATACGTCCCCCTTAAAATTTTCTTCGTTAACAAATTATCTACCCACCCTGGAAAGTACATTATCGTTGTTTACCATTTACAAAAAGATTCCGGAAAATTCTGTTGAAAAGTAAATAGAAGACGACTTTTTGGGTCCTCGTTGCAGCGGAAAATTTCCAGAAGCAACGGAACATCTGAAAAGGAAGTCCTGTTTTTCGGACGGAATATTTCAAACCTTTGCTGAAGAGATATTTAGTTTATTATATATTGGCAGATCTTGAAAATAAAGTTGCCCCATGTTCCATTTCTTCAAACCATCTTTGATGCCAGTTTCAGGCCTTTGCGGTCGTTTTCCGATAAATGGAACTGACTCGTACAAATGGTAAATGCGATTTCGGGGCGAAATGTACAACCGTGGAGCGACCGGTTTGCCCATAGAAAATGGTAAACAACCTATAACACAACCGTTTATTAGACTTTCGTTTCCTGAGTGATTGCTTTGTACGGAATTGGAGCAAAATGTTGTATTTATTCTTCTTTGGAGTCTCTCAAACCTTAACAAATTTGTCCTTTTTAGCGTTAAACTAGAAATACGTTTATCACAACATCTCGCAAAGCCGTAAAGACACGGTGAAAAAAGTAAAAACAAAACGGCCAAAAAGGGGAGAAAATGAATGAAAAAAAAAGAAACAAAACAAAAAACAATGCCTTGAAGGACAGTTGAACCGTGTCCACCTGCATGAAAAGTCGTTTCATAATACGCCACATCGTCAAATTTCAATTGGGCAGGTCAAACTATTGTCAGTATTTAAAGCATTTTCCCGTGAAATTCGTCTGGTAGACGCTGTTTGTAGTGGTGGAGTTGTAGTAATCAATAACTCAAAGGTATATTTGAGGAAAATAAGCAGTGTTTCGACGTTAAGAGCGGTAATTTAACTAATTTCATCGCATTTGGAGAATAATGGCCGACAAAGCCGATAGGTGTCTCGCAAACCGTCCCAAAGTCCCTTGTTGACGGTCGCTGTACAGTTTACAGTTCCCTGCCATACGCATGAGGAGAATCGAAAAAACAAAGTAAATAATTTTTCAAAAAGGATGAATAGACACGTTAGCCTTTCACGAATAAAACATGATAGTGCACCCAGTGGAAATCGTGTTGCTTGGAAACCTGAAAATGTACCTTGACGTCACAATCGTCGAGGTCACTGACTCGAAAACCCCATATACAGCTATTTCGAAAAAGGTTGTTAGAAAAAAATTTGCACGCGGCAATCCCGAAAGGTATTATGGGATATGATCAATACACTTTTCCTGGCACTGTCGATGTCGACCCTACTTTTCTTGCTTTCCTTTAGCACTCGCAACTATACGACCATGGCCTCTCGTGCCTTTCTTTCAAATTTCTTTGAAAAACGGTGAACCCCAAACCACCCACAATACCTTTCGGGTTTGTCGCGTTCACTTTTTCCCACATTCTCGAAACAGCTGTATATACAAAGCCGACTCGTGTTTCTGTCTCGCTGTGCGATCCACGCGTTATGCAAATTTAATTATAATACTTAATTACAAACCTTCGCTAAGCGAGGCGAGGAATTAATTGCGGGCGACAAGAGAAGCCCGCAATCCTAATCTCCAGGTTGTTATTATGCATGCGTCGCACGTATCTAGCCAGTCTTTGTTTGGACTTCCACTAAAAATGAATGGAATGCATAGAACGCAATTTTGTCGCGAGCGTTTGGACCTTCTGTCACTCGTAATCTGATCACGTGTGTTTTGACTATTTGTCACGTGACACTTACGCAAAGCACAGAGTTTGAGCAAAATCGTTTTGACATTCGATCGTTTTGTATTTGTTTTATTTATATGTGAGAGATGAAAAGGCCTATATGCCTAACCCGTTTAATCCATTAACTCTTTCTTCACCGGGTATCCACTTCCTGACCTCACCATGGTAGAGCATGCATACGGTGACAGTGTCTGAGATAAAATTATAGTGATTAGGCAAAAAAGTGAAATGTTTAGTCGGCTAACTCAATGTTGTACCCAATTCAAACCCTTTGGGAATAAAACGTTTTGTTTCAGGAATTTCCATATCATTTAAATGTGAATGCCACATTATAATGCAAATGCAATACACAAAGAATCTTATCCCCGGGAGATTTGAATTGGGTACAACATTGAGTTAGCCGAATAGGTCTATTTAACATTAAGGTCTCTGGCCTTTTATTTCTCCTTTCTTGAGTTAGCATAATATAGGCTATTTGAATTCTTAACTCAATCTTAACTAATTCCAAACAATCTTGCCGGTGCCAAAGTGCTCTGAAGTGGTCGTGCTTAGTGCAATGTTTGAAAAACTGGTAGGACTTATAAAATAATGGTCGCTACAGTGCAAGTACTCATGATTATCTCATAATTGAGCAGCTAGTGACACTGCCTTTACCTTGCGCTTTGAAGTTTTCCGAAGGAATGACAATGCTCTCTGTTCCATTGCTTTTAGAGCAAGTAATCGGTTCCGTATTGTTTCCCAAAACCCTCTGAATCTTCATTTCTACAAAACCAATAACCAATAACTATCTGACTGTAAAGTCTTACCAATGAAATATGTCAGTTATCACAATATTTGTAAGATGTCATACAATTTTAGTGACTTTTCTCTGTAAACTCGTTATAGCAAGCAAATTTTTATAGCGGAGCCCCATACCTATAGAAATTGGTAACCCATCGATGCGAGAAGAAAATTTAGTCAGGGGCCGAGCATTTGACTTTGACGGGGGGATAGGTGATTTGGTTTGGGTAAGACTTTTTTTTTCCCCAAACCTCTGGGGATATAATTTTTTTCCTGACATTAACAACTTGACGATGTAAGATTTTTTCCCAACATTCCAAGCCATGAAAAATATTTCTCTTTAGTGCGAAAACTTTTTCCGCCAGGTATTTCCTTCCAAGAATTATTTTTTCCTCGAAATCAGTCTGCAGGATATTTTTTCCTGAAATCACCCATACCCCCCCCTAAAAAGTCAAACGGTCGGCCCATTAAGACGTAACGTACACCCGCCGGTACACCCCTTTCACTTCCAGGTTCGCCATTTTCTTATATTAATTCAACAACAAGAGGTTTTAGTTTTTGTATAGCACAATTTGTAATGGCTGGTTTTGGAAAATTTCATGTAGAAAAGTCTGTCTGTCCTATGTCTGTTCGTATAGAAAAATTCAATACCCGGGATAGTTTACTAAAAAAAAGATTTGTTTGCATAGCTTTTGCATAGATTTCTATTTTTAAAAATGGCCTAGTTAATTCCAGGTGTGATCACTCAGCCTCTCCCCCCCTCCCCCCCCCTTAACCTAGCTCCTGGTATAGGCCACTCCTGTAAAAAGCTAACCGGTTAATATACCATTATTAATTACGGCCATACTAACCACTTGTGTTCATTTTTCCTTGTGAGCGTCAGCATCTAGCGTAAATTAATGTGATCTTGAATATGAAGCTGGATGTAAATTTATAAATATTCAATTGAAAATAAAAATAAATTAACCTGACTCATCAAACAGAGCATAAAACTCACCAAACAATTTTTGCACAATAACTGCGCTTTCATTCGCTGTGAGATGAGTCTTGCCGTATTTAACTGCAAATGATTCGAGTTCGTGAGTGGCTACCAGTATATTTATGTCATTTCCACCTGGCGGTAGTTTTTTTAAACCGTCTAAAAAAATTATGGTTGCATTGATTGCTTCCTGTGAAGAAGAAAAAAAAAAGGTAAAATGGATTAGAGAAGATATGCCGCTGAAAGACCATCTACTCTTTATCATGAATATATTAAGTTTACATTGAACCTTGTCAAATATCGATCAATATCTGACTGGCTGTCTTTGACCGGCTTGATGTTATCAGCTAAAAGGACCAAGCAAATTAATCAATTTTTGTCCGGTCTCTTCCGATGTCAGATCAGAAAGAAATCATCTTGAAAAGACGGACCAAACGTTTTCCATGCTTGAGTGCTTCATTTCAAAAATAAAAATGATCAATAAACAGGGGCACCCAACGAGAATATAGTTCAAAACCACTTAAACGTAGCTTTGTTAAACGTATTTTAGTATTTAAACGGTAGATATAAGCATATTCTGTTCGGATTTCCTAGCTGAAAGTTTAGTGATCCGAAAATTATAGGGATCAAAACTTACCTTTTCGAAAATTTTAGCCAGAAAAAAGACTCTCGAAAGTTCTAGGTCACCTTTTTAGGGTAAAAATTCGTTAAAAATGGGCTTATGCCATTTTTCAGATGTTCGAAAATCCTAAAAGAGGCAGGCAAGCAAGAGATCTTACAACGAATGTTGACCGAAAATTCTAGATCTCAAATCGTCTTCCGAACTGATATTTTCCGAAAATTGACATTAGGTGCCCCTGAATGAATAAATGCGAAATTAATAAGTCAGTGATCAAGGCCGTATTCAACTTAGGCATCAATGAAGTTAGTTATTTGCAGCAGAGACGACTTCACCTGTAAGGAACCGTTGTTGCTAACATTGAGAGCCCTAATCGATGAAGAGTACCGAGATACCTGCAAAGGAAAGTGTAAATGTTTGTGAACTGGCCAAATTTGCTCCATAGTATTTCCCCACGTCAACATTTACAGAATAACTATTGATTTTGATTCGGGTGGACCCAGTCAACTTTCGCCTTTATTTGCGGACATCTCGCTATTACGGACTAGACAATAGCTGACAAGTATCGAGCACATGGTAATGGAGGAAAATTGCCACATGCACAGCGTTTGCTGACTGCGTTCACTTCGGACTCAAACACACGGAGCTACCTGATTCCCCGAAAGACGTTAACATGCAGAGGTTTATACCAAAAACAAAATCCCCTCATTATAGGGGCTGTGTCACGGCAGTCCAGTTCATTTTGTTTAATTTTGCCAATTACTCACCCTCAATCGCTATGGAACTTAAAGTAAGCAAAAAAATTACAGGTAAATGACAAAACAGAGACCCGAGACAAACAAATATGTCTCCTGAAGTTGCAAGCAGCAGGGATCAACTTTGAAAAACTGTTAGGCTGAACAGTTTTCAAAAACCCTAATTTCAATCCGTTTCAATCCTCTTCAGTTTTGCCCATCCGTGGCATCTATTGTTTCTGTTATGTTATTTTAACCTTCCTTTAAAGTTTTAAGCGGTTATTTTTTATGTTTCTCTTAGTTAACGGGCATTTTGTAATTTCCTAATTTGGCTGAATTTCGTGACACAGCTCCTTTAAAGAGACAATCTTCTTATCACCCTATCCTTTATAGAACTGAGAACTCTTCTTTGGCAAAACTGATCGACCATGCTTTATAACTCTGTTGTCTTAACTGGCACCGAGCAGCATCTTTCAACATTCGGACATAATTAATTGATTTATTTCACTGTCTTTTATTCCTTCCTTTTCTATGGTTCTATAGTTATCATGTTACGCATCAACTGAAATTATCGCAGTTGTTTTCTTAGGAATTCTTCGAGCACTGCGCTGTTGGGGGCCCTTCTGTCCTGCAGGAAACTAACTTTTGCTCTCAATGGACTGCCTCAATAACGGGAGATCATTCTCAAAGGCCATGGCCAGTTTCACAGAAGAAAATCATCCTGATCTATCTACTTTTTGTTAATGTCACTATTCCGCTTGTAAGATAAGCATGCAAACGTCAAGCAAGTAAATGACGCACGCAGGCTAAATAAACAACAACTACGTGATGGCGTAACGTAATAAGGGGGGGGGACACAGCCCTGTGGCAGGTTATAGCGACTTCGGGTTATGCGCACAAAATAACACAAGCCTTACTTATCGCCCCACTACGGTGGGGTAGGACAAGAATCTTGGCAGAGCCTTTCTTATCTCCCCAGCGCCGCACGGGCTGGATCGGACAAGATTAATGCAAAGGAATAGCTCAAAAGATGGCAAGACACAAGCAATGCCAAAAGCTTGGAGGAAGTCGCAACGCAGACTTAGCCGCACCACAGGGAGTGACCCACCAAAATTTATTGAGACATAACATAACAACAACTCCTCCAAAGGGAGGGAGGGCGGGTAACAAAACTACTTTAAATGATTGCTTTCGTGCAAGCTAACCAAATAATGACTAGGAGTGGCATTGGCAAAGCTTTATAGTCAGACAGTGTCTCAAAGTATGGCCAATAGGCACAGTGGTACTATAAACTATCTCAACTTATCATGATTAAGGTCTAGCCATGAATAGCGCTGAATAGGGCTTTGAAAACAGGGACCAATCTTTGCGAAGCTACGAAAATACACGATGACAAACATGCGACAAATTAGTGAGGTTCTAGCCATGAAAAGCTTTTGTTTTCTGCTTAAAGAATAGAGTGCTTTCATTTAATGAATCAGGCTTTCAAGATATCACCGAGCCTAAGACGGGGCGGGCTTTCTCGGTCTACCCCCCTGGGGCTTCAAGCTCCATTAACTGAATTTACCCCCTGGTAAATGTCTCATTAATGTCACTATTAACCTTTTCTTGTAAGCTACAAGTTCATATGTTCTCTTGCAGGTTGCGCGAGTTTGAGGTGAAATAATTTGTCACATTTTTATCATGCTTGTGTTTTCAATAGAAATCTGTAGTTATGAACAATCCACCATAACTCACCAATATATTCCAAGGCGTTGATGAGGTTGTTGTTGCTGTCGTGCAATCATCTGCGTGAATATGGGTAAAACAAATGTTACATACAAAATAAAGCCTGCATAGTACAAGTCGCTGAATCCCACCGCCAATTTACAGTCCAATGGAGCAAAAGTAAAACCGACAAAAAATAATCAAAGCCAAAACAAACCGAAACATACAACACAGGAGAGAAAGCAAGGGAGGAATGGTGGCCTAGTAGTACTCAACATACCTGAGCTTCAGTATTTAGAGCAAACTAGAAACTCAAAAGGGGTTGAAACGTGTAACTCGCATATATATTTTTTTCTCCGATGCTCTTGAATATTCATCTTCAAGGTACCATATTTGGAACCGAGAAGAAAAGATCGATCTGACCAATCAAATTTGACGGCTACGAAAACGACACTGAAAAAGTGAATAGGCCATTTCTGAGTTCCCCGGGCCTCTGTATCAAAACGAGGTTAGGTGCTCAGCCTTTGGTATGGAAAGGATTTTTCTTTCTCAGGCAAATAAAACTCATTTCCACAAGAAAGGTTGTGCCCTTGGCTTCATTTTGACAGTGAGGGTTTTTGGAACTCGGAAGTGGCCTATTCGCGCTGCTTAAAACTTGTATTGCGCTTATTCCATCTAGTTCTTTTCGTCGAATGTTAGCAAATTTTTCCGGAATTGAATTCTAAAGACTGTATTAAAGTTCAGAAAAAGAAACAGAAAGTCGTTGTCTTGTGTTTTTGCCTCCCAGAGAATGTTAAATTAGGAAGTTTCACGTAGTGTCTCGCAGTGACGGCAAAGAAATGTACAAAAAAGCATGATACATGAGCAAGTTTGCTGTTAATCCGGCAGCGAGGGTTTCCAAATATGGTACTTGGAAAAATGCATAATCACGACCAGTGAACGCGAGTTAAACGTTTCAACCCCTTAAACCCCGTTTCTGTGCAAACTTAGTGCAATGCTTTCTCTTTTACCATGAATATTAATGTGAAAATAATAAGTTAGTGTTAAATCGTAATGTCAAATGTTTTTAGAGGTGGAAATTTCATATGATGTGTTATGTTGTATACGCATTTGTAATATAATATACTAGGAGTAATCAGAGCTTAGAAGAGTGCGTTCGATCTGTTTGTAAGGCGTACAGGTAGCAGTTGAGGAGGAAGAGTGGATGGTTATTGCGATAGATTAAGCCCGGTTTCCATATGTTCGCTACGATAGCTGCGATCGGCTGAAAAAAAAGTTCAGCGATCATATGGAAACCACTCTCTGAGATAGAACATTTTATATTTCAGCGATTGTTGTCGCTGCGATCGCTGGAGAATGGTTTCATATGATCGCTGCGATCGCTGAAGTTTTTTTTTTTTTCTCAGCGATCGCACCGATCACAGCGATAAGCGATCATATGGAAACCGGGCTTTAATTTGATCATGGCGTATTTTAAACGTAAGGATTGCTTACAGCGAAACCTCTATTTAAACTGTGCATCACAGTATGAAAAAGCCTTGAAGGCTAGTGATATCGAATGGCCCGTCTCAATAAGTGTAGTAATTTGGTCAAGTGTGTTGATTTCAGTGACTTGAATGGACCTACTGTGGGCTGTTTACATTTTTCTCCGAATAAATAACATAGACCCAACTCCTAAAATGTTCGTTTGTCCGGTGGCAAAAATATCATAAGTCATGATGAAACGGCGCCGCCGAGCTTCACATCTCGGTAGATTTACTTTGTGGCACAACCGCCGCCGAGCTGCACAACTCTCTAGATTTACTTTGTGGCACAACGGCCGCCAAAACTTTTGAAACATGGACGTTTTGAAAGGTTCAGCAAACACAGATTGATAGTAGACCTTCAGCAAACTCTTAAATATGTACGCTTTACGAAGATTCAGCACACTTTTAAAATATAAACGATTTACGAAGAGAGAATAGCAGTCCTCAGAAAACGTTTGAAATATGAACGCCGAGGACACACGAATAAGCAAGCGCCTCAAAGCGAGGCAAATGTGTGTCGACGACGACGACGAATGCAATCTCGAAAATCCTCCCTTATTAATTGCACGGGACACCCCATAATGCACAGAACACCCGACACAAATTAAGGGTTGCGTTCTCGTACCTCGAACGCAAAAACGAGTTTCTCTCCAACACCACAACCCACGCCAAAAGAATGAGCAAAATGCCTCCATTCGGACATAATAAAAGTATTGCTACCATCAACACGTTAGAGACGAGAAGAAAAAAGTCTACCAACTGATATTGAAGTTATTACTTGAAAAAAAAAAGTTTGTGGTTGCTATCCTGTACTTACAACAGGCTGATAAGCACGCAAAAAGCGAATTAAATGTATTCTTATGGCTGCTCCCTTAACGGACGTCTGATTCTATCTGCTTTCTTTGTTTAATTTTATATTTTAAAATATCCATACAAGAATATGATTTGTTACGGTGAACGTACGGAGAGGATTTTTGCAACAGCACAATGGAAACAGATTCCTCTTTTTGGGGCAGTCATTACAGTCAGACTCGCTGCATTTCATGCATTTCCAGACGCCATTGCACTTTTTTGGACATCCACAGTGAGAACGAGGGTCCGAGCTGCCACATCCTTTTTGCAGATGATCAGGACCTGAAGAAAATTTCAGGAATAATGAAAGTCTCATAATTTAACAAAATATTACCTATCCCTTAGACTCAACAATTTGAGGCCATGCTTCACTTGACATTCATGCTACATGTGTGAAATTGGCCAAACGTGAGGTCAGGAGGGAGGAGGCGTCTCTATTGTTTTCGGGTACTTGTCTGTGACCGAGTCATCATGACAGTGTGACGTCACATAGCAACGACTCAGAGCTTCGCGCCGCTTGATCAGTTTAGCGTGGAGAAGCCATCGAAGTTAAACAAAGAAAGGGCTAATACAGGCTTTTGTTCAGCGTTGGTAAAACAATTTGTCGTAAGTGTGCAAGCTTTGTTGCTTATATTGTTTGTGTGTAAAAGCTGTGTTTGTTTTGTCCGCACGTTTGTGTTAAATTCTACCCAATCCACTTCGGGTCAGTGGCGTGGGCGCCATTTTGAACTCGGAACTAGATAAATCCACCCTAAACGTCAGCCGTTTTCTCTTTAAATTGTTAACCAAATCTCCTCAGAAGAGGAGGTTTAATTCATTAATAACAGAAGTTTGATACGATAGTTGATTTGTGTTGATGTAACGAGCCATTTTGCTCATCAATCCTTTTGAATGTGAAGATACTGTGTTGAATCGCGTGTGGTTTCTTGACTGGGGTAAATTTTGCAGACTTTAACGCTGTCATTGTGTGTCAAGTTTGCTTGTTTGTTTACTGCTTATGTCTAAGGTTTGCTGGTTAATCTGGTGCCCTCTATTTTGATCAAAGTAATCGCTGGCCTTTGCTGCTTTGAAAATTTACTGCTGTTGGTTGTTTTATTCTGTTATGTTATTGTTGGTAAAATTTTTCTATTTGCATTTGTCTGCAGTTTTTGTTGGCTTTTTTTCCCCGTATTTTACTTGCCTGTGTCATTGTTGCTTGTTAGCAGTGTTGTTGGCTTCTGTATTTGCCTTTAAAAAGATTATTCTTTTAATTAATTTAGTGTAACTATTTCTTGAGAAAAGAAACAATAATAATAATATTAAAGACATATAAAAGAGACAGAAAAAAATAGTTTAAATAAAAAGTACATAGCTTAATTTAAGAAGTTACATTATTTTAAAAAGGAAAAATTACTTAGTGAGAAAATTAATAAAGTAAGATCATATTTATATAATATATATCTATAATTATTTACTTCAGAAGAAGAAAACATCATGATGAATAAAAATATTTTATTGTGTATATATTTGACAATGGGCTTTTGTTGTATCTTGTGATAGCTGTTGTGCGTGTCCATATTGTTTTGCAATGGTTGCAATATCTTTCCCAGGCCTTTCAAACCTTCATGTGCCCTCTGCATCCCTTCAAAGCCCCCATCTTTTTGGAGACACAAATCCCTCACTCCTTTGAGTTATAAAGTAAAAATTTGCGTGTAGTAAAAATGTTGGTCTCCTCTGTTTTGTCCTTTTTTTATTATCCACTTCAAAGTGACGGTAATTCAAAACTTCAACCTCTCAAACTTCCTTGTGTCCCTTTTAGCCTTAACCACCATTCTTTTTACACTGACGTTTTTGTTTTACAGGAAAGTATTGTGCATGGTTTCTTTATGGCAAATGATTAAGTATAGATCAACTTTAAATTGTTTCTTAGAAATGCTTCTACTCCCTGCTGTTATTACCTTGAAACTATTTCTATCTTTGCTTGATCCAGTTTACAAAATTTTGTTACATGTAAAGCCCCAATTCAACTTTTCACTGGTACAATATTTTTGGAGATTAAAATCACAGCTTTTTTTTCTCCTGCCTAATGACCGTGTGCCTTTTTGTTTCTCATGGCTTTTACTGAACCTTGGTATTACAAAAGTTGTTCTTTAAACTGTGAACTTCAATATCCTGTTTACTTGGCAACTGCTGCTTTTTTGCTGATAATTTCTGCACTCCCATTTTCATTCTTTGTGGGTTTATATGTTGTGACTATTATTATATTTGGGGAGACCTTTGATGTCAGTTCCAGATCCTGTACAGAAATGCCACTCCTTTTTCCAATTTTATATCTCTCATTTGGTGTACTTTTAACTTATCCCTGTGCCAGACTGCTTGAATTACACCACCCTGGTTTCCTTTTTAGCATGTTGATAAGATCTAAAAGGTTGATGACAACAATTCAATTGTTGATATAACAGGCAAGCCATGCACCCTCACTTTTACACCATATGCCACAATAAAAGATCTAAGATCTCAAATAAATACTAAATTCAGAATAACAAGTGATTTGTACTGGTTGTCATGCTGTGGAAAGCCTTTATTTGATTTTTTTACTTTTGGAAGAAATAAGAGGAACAGTTTTTTATGCATGGGCGATTGATGGGAGGTGTACAATGCTGTCTGAAGGGATGTGAAAATGAGGCAGGATCAAGAAAATTTGATAGTATGGTTGGGCGGTATGAACTGAAATGTGCCCCTGATGATGTTACACCTGAAAATCTCAAAGATCTTAAGGTATGTGATAAACATTACGGCAGTTTATCAGCAAGAGGGCATAAGCCTCCTAGGGGGAAAAGCTCCACTAGATCACGCAGCGATGCCCAGCTGGGCATCCTGAAAGTTACACCATGTATAGTGACTTGTTCACAATGTGGCAACAAGGTTTGCCCGAGTAGTGATGTTCCCTGCAAGAAACACCACATAAATATTTTTAAAAATACGTTTTCAGTGGGATGCAATTTTTTGGATGAAAGAACTGGCAATAAGACTGATTTACATAATGACTTGTATAGTGTAGATCCTTGTGATGGAACTTTTCCAGACTACATATGCATGTCATGTCAGCCTTTCTATTTAAAATCCATTAAAATAGAGCACGAGTACAAAGAAGCTCAAAACATCTTCCACCAAAAACAAGGTTGTTCAATTTCCACAAAAACGACAGATAATGACAGCAACAAGCATGAGTTTTTTGAAGAAACAACTATTAATCCAACTAAAGGACAAGCCACTGTGCTATCAGAAAAAATGGTCTTGGATTTGCTGTGTCTGATGCTTTAAACTGTAAAGCAGGCATTTTTACAGATGTGTTGAATGAAATAATGACACAAACTGCTCCAAAAGAACCAGTAGATGCAGGAAATGACAGTGAAGTACAGTCATCACCTCTGCCAGTTTATACAGTTTTTCAAACAGTTATTTCACGTATTTTTCCATGGACAGTGTCATTTACTCAGCACACTACAGGTAATACCATGAAGGTTACGTTTTCTGTTCCAAATATCGGAAAAGGTGGTGTAATAACGAAGTGGAAGAAGTTAACCCTTTTTCTTCCTTCCGAAATAAAAACATTTCCTTCAAAGGATTTTAGTCCATTTACAGTAGAATTCTTGGGTAACAAAATTGACCATGAGGAACTCCCACACAATATTTTTCAAGAAAACATATTAAACTCTGGTTTGGGTGTCATGCTTAAAACTATTGAAAACTTACCGGTTTGTTCAGGTATATATGATCCAGCCCTTGTTGATATGGCTGAAAGAAAAAGGGAAGCAAATTTATACTTTGTGGATGAAAAAGGAGCAAATGTAGATGGAGAGATTGTCAAGTGCTTTTGGAGCTTAAATTGCACCTACAAACTACCTGTCCATTCAAAAACCAGATGCCACAAATGTCAAGATATTTTACGATCTTGCTTTTGTTGGAAAACAAATCCTTCATCTGAATCATTTGAGTCTAAAACAGCCTATGATTCACACACTAAACTAAGTACTCTTTCACGTGATGAACTCATAGCCAGAGCAAAAAAATCTACACAAAGTGGTTGCTCAAAGCAAAAAAAGCAAAACAATATTACATTATTAATATTATTATTCGCATGAATTTCAAATGGTCAAAACACAAGATCTTTGGGAATATAGGGAATTTGAAAGATCTCTCATGCCAAAAGCTGGCAATAACCACGATCATCTTGAACAAGTAAGACGTTTCATTTTGAAAAATGGTTTTCAAGAACCAATAATTATACCATGTGATCTTACAACTGGAAGAGCCTATATCACTGAAGGAAACCATCATCTTTGGATGGCCATTCAGGAAGGTATACCATTCATACCATGTCGTGTTATTCCTCACGGGCTGCCCGCCAATGGCTCTTCCAAAAAGCTTGAAATTTATTTTTCCACTTTAAAATTTGGGGAAACAGTACTTCCTGAACATATGGGATTGACGGGTGCATAAAACAATAACCTTCATAAAAGATGTATCAAATCTATTTCTGTTTGTATACATAAACTTCAACACTATCATAATTATAGTACTTTGACAACAGAGATTCCTTGCACCCCTGATCAAAAATTATTTAATGGAATATTGCAGTTAATATTGTACAATGCAATTGCACATAGATTCTAGCCTAGCAGTGTTATCCCTCTAGCATTAATATATGGAGAGCCGTTTGTAGAGCCTGAACATTAATTTTATAACCTGCATGTATTTCAGGAGCTATCTATTTTCCATTCAAAAAATTACGTTTTCCTGATGTTGATTCATGCACAAAACATGCATATAAGTCTCCTGTTGTTAGAAGTAAACGAGTAAATTTCAAAACTTACCACTGATATCTACTGCCAACCTGTTGTAGCAGGTAGTGACTTGATGTAAGCAGATTACATTTATGTCGTCTCCACATTTTTTCATTCCATCGACTTTAAAGGGATTGATGAGAAGAACTACGCGCTTTGGCTCGCTGAAACTCGGCGTACATTAAGCTCAATGTATCATATACCAATCCTCCTATTCTGAGATCAGGATATTGCCACACCACCTCGCACGTTGCCCGAAAGCGATAAACGATCATACAAACTGTGCCAATTTATAGACACTTCGCGGTACCTTTCTTTGCCTCATGTGATGCTTTTGAAACATTTTCCGACTGAACCTTATGGCAAATATTTCCATGTTATGTTTCAAAAGCTCTGCCTTATTGAAGAAGGCAAAAGATGAATCCAAACATTCAGAAAATTGACATCCTTTGCAACGTAACGAACAAGAAATTTGCCCGCCATTTTGAAAATCAGCGATGTATGACGTGACGTCACACTGGCAGTGATCAGTGAACCAATGTTTACCCTAGAGACGGCCCCTCCCTCCTGCGTGAGGTTAAAATGGCCGTTTTGTGCTTTTTTTTTTTCCGAAAAAAAAATGACAGGTTCAACAAAAGGATAAAACGAGACCAATGACAAACTATGTTAATCAAACAAGCTTGGTCAATCAAGGATATATTCACTTATATACATTGTAGTTCAGTTTTTATTCTTGGTTTAAATTTTGTTTTCCTTTGTTTTTGGGTATGGTAATGTATGATAATGAATTTGAAACAAAGGAAAATAAAATTTAAACCAAGGATAAAATTGAACCACAACATATGCCTGGTCAAAATTGCAACTGTGACTGTTTTTACGAATCAAGAGCTTTTGGGTGCCTTCGAGGTTATCTCATATTTGACACGCAGATGAACCTAGTATAATTGACCACTCCAGAAAATACCACAACATACCATAATGCTCTTTGTTTGTCACCCCAAAATTTTGCATAAGCATTGTTTGCAGTTTCTCTTGGGGCCATTTTAACTCCCAAGAGACATTGAAGACAATGCTTATGCAAAACTTTGGGGTGACAAATAAAGAGCATTATGGTATGTTATGGTATTTTCTAGAGTGGTCAATTGGCCTAGCTCTTCATGAGTTCTCCGTAGCTCAAGTGAATAGAGCGCCCGCCCGGTGTTTGGAAGGTCATAGGTTCAAATCCTGTCGGGGACTCAGATTTTTTCTTTGTCCCATGATCGTGACATGCTGATCATTCATTTTCACATTTGTTTCACCGACCATAAAATTTACCATCTTTTATTCTTTCACCACACATTGCGACATCGACATTGCTGATCCTAGCGGTATGCAGGATGCTTGTCAAATATATGTAAAAAAAAGTATATGGCCTAGCTCTCCATGAGTTCTCCGTAGCTAAAGTGAATAGAGCGCCCGCCCGGTGTTTGGCTGGTCATAGGTTCGAATTCTGTCAGGGACTCAGATTTTGTCTTTGTCCCATGCTCGTGACATGCTGATCACAAGTTATCAAATGTTATAAGTTTTTGTTTACGATCGGGGGAAAGGTTAAGCTTCTTCAGAATGATCGCCGATAAAGCAAACGAAGTCAAAAGACAGAACAAACTCTTTAGAGAAAAACATTGGCAAGTTTTATGTGCAGTTGGATAAAGAAGGAGACGAGAAAAAACCTGAACCCGAAACACAGGACGCTACACAATTTTGGAATGATATCTGGGGTAACCCAACAGAACATAAAGGGATGCTGGTTGACTCAAGACGATCCTAGAGGAATACAACTATTGACGTGGAGAAGGTGAAGAACATCCTGAATTAAAAGAATGCCCAATGCCCTGACAGAAAAATTTTACTACGTTACATGAGAGGATTGCGGACCAATTACAAGTGTGCCTAGAGCTGGCGTGGGGAGAACCCCAAGGGAGGACTCTGTTAATTCTGAAGGTGTTACAAAGGAAAACATACCAAGCAAGTGCAAGCCGATAACCCGCCTTCCGCTTATGTGGAGGTTGTTCATAGGAATGATGTCGGGGAAGAAATATACGGTTTTTTAGATGATAGAAACCTCCTACGAGAGGAGCAAAAAGGGTATAGGAAGAAAGCAAGAGGAACTCACGATCTCCTGTTCATTGACAAGATGGTCGTAAGGCATACCATAGAAATCTGGCAATGACATGCACTGATTACAAAAAGGCCTATGATATGGTGCCTTATTCTTGGATAGAACAATGTCTAAACCTATTTGGAATTGCAGAATAAAAAGAAGCTATTGAGTGAAAGCATGAAAAACTGTATAACAGAACTTACCTCGGGTTCTGTTTTTTTGGGAAGTGCACATCCAAAGAGTCATCTACCAAGGAGATGCACTATCACCCCTCCTGTTTGTTATTGCAATGATTCCATTAAACCCGCTACTTAGAAAGTCGTGATTTGCGTACGAATTTAATGGGAAATGAACAAATCACCTGTTCAGTTTATGGAAGACCTCAAACCTTATGCTAATACTGAACAGGGCCTAGGGTCTCTGGTCCACACTGCGCTGGATTTTAGTGAAGATATCGGGATAGATTTTTTGGGATTGACGAATGCGCAAAACTAATGCTTCGGAGAGGAAAAGTAAAAGCATCTGATGGAATTAAATTGCCTCAGTTAGGGAAGAGAAATAAATTCATTGGACGTTATGAATTTGAAGCAGCTATGAATAATTGGGGATTCTGGAGGCTGATAGGGTTATCTACTAAGAAATGAAAACTAGCCTGACAAAACAGTTTCTCCGGTGTGTGAGAAAACTGTTGAAATCAAAGCTTAATGGTGGCAATGTAATAAAAGGAATTTTAAAATACGTGGGCAGTTTCTATCCTTAGATAGTCTGCAGCATTCATTGACTGCACAAAGGAGGAGTTTAAAGAGCTTGACAGAAAAACCAGGAAATATCTTACAATCGACAGTTCTCTCCACCCGAGGGATAGCACTGTCGCCAGATTATACCTGCCATGGAAGCTAGTTTGAAGAGGTTTGTGTTCGTTTGGGGACTGCGTGAAGATTGCAAGGTTGGGTCTGTTTGACGACTTTGCGAAGAGTGAAGAGGCTCTTTTGGTAGCAGCAAGAGCGAGTAATAAGAAAGTTCTTTTTACAGATGGCACATAACGTGGTTTTCAATACCACACTGCATATAAAAAATAAAATTGCTAAAATAAATTACTTAAAATGACAAAACCAAATAAAATTAAAAAATCAAATGAACTATGAAAATTCACATCTAAGAAAACTGGAATAAAAAACCTAGATCCTTCTATTGAGAGTTAAAAGTTTTAAGTAACGATATTTTAAAAGCGTTATAAGGTATAGACATCTCATCTCTACTGGAAGGGAATTCCAATCTTTCAATGCACTATTAAAGGATCTGAGGAGTCCCAAGTGACTGATAATGAGGGCTGGCCACACTTTTGTTGGGCTCGTATTTCTTTTGGTTTTACTTGTATCGGCATGTCCGTTAAGCAACAGCAGCTTAACCTTCCGTTATCTATTAAACATCATGGTGTATCCACGGAGAGTCATTATTTCGTCTGGAAACATTTCCTTCACCGAGAAAAGTCGGAGTTTTTTCGATGGAGTTTCTGTTTCAGTTGGAGTTCTCGGATTCTTTCTATTAGAGATTTTTCGCATAACCGTCCACAATACCCGTTAATGATCCACTACAGTGGGAAACACCAACTACATAATTATGCAAATTTGATTCCGGTAGGGAATTCATTATTATCAGTGAAATAAGGCAGCACAAGAAAAGTTGCAACTGATTTCTTCATTGATTCCTTAACAGTGTGCACAGATTGTTTCTACATTTGAATTTACGGATACCTGGTATATTAAAGTTAATCTGTGTCAACTGAATCTTACTTGTCCAGCATATTTTGTATGTTGTCCATCATTTGCATTGCCTTACTGCACATCTCCACGAGAGCCCTACTCGCCTGCTTTGCTAGTTTTCCGCGTGAACCGATTATTTTCTTTCCTTTTTTGTCATTCTCCGCTGGCTTCAGGGCGGTTGGGAGTAACCAATGGTTCGAAATTGTTGGCTTCGATTTCTTCTTCACTAGAATCGGTGAAATTGACAAAAAGATTCGCGGCATGTGCAAATTTGCTTGATTTTCTTAACTCGGGACTTGCATGTTTATCGTTGAGTAGCGAGTCTTACTTTGCCTTTGGTCTCCGACATGCTTTTCGTATGGCTTGTTGATGATCGTGAGGAAGACGGAGAGATTTTTGCACGTTCTGGTTAACAATCCTTTGAATGTGCTTTAGCGTTGCGGTAACTATGTTTAAGCAAAAGACGACAAACTGCATTATATTAACTCCACAAAATTTATGCTTAATGTGATAGACTTCAAGAGAGCTGCATAATTACGACGCCTCAGTGACGCTTGGGACTTAAAAAGCGATTATGAATTTATGTCAAAAGAAACAATAATCGGAGGAAAAAGAAAGTTTTCCACCTTCCTCAGATTGAGTTCAAAAGCTGCAATTTTTTTTCGAATATATGAAGAAGGAGTTTAAAAATTGAGAAGCAAATTATTGATTAACTTTTTGGTAACTCAGAAGCTTTGAGTAAAGGCTGAACTAAGTTTTTTTACAGGACAAAATTAACATTTTCTATGAAATGTGTAATGTCAAGAGAGGATGATCCTCTCTTGGTAATATTTTAGCTCCCGCACGGCCTATTAGCTAATTTATTGCGTTCGGTGTGCCAATATAAAATATAATCGACCAAAAAAATTGTCGCGTGTGTAAACTTTAGAACCACAAAAAGTGATGGAGTAGATTATAATTCCAAACCGTCAGGTAAACAATAACTGACATCTTAGACTTTTGGCCATTCTTTCTACCTCAGTGTCACCACTAATTGCGTTTTCAGTTGGGCGCTCTTTCTGCACATACTCATCATGCACATTATCATTTTTTAAGGTTTCAAACTGTCAGGTCGTGTGATTAAAGAGCTTCTAGATTAATGTCTTATCCAAGATATCAGCAGGTGTTTTTTAAAAAAGCGAGAAAAGAAATATTGCCTTACACTTAAAAAACTCATGTTATAATAGCAAGAAATAAAAATGACATAAAAATGAAATAAAAATATAGAAGGAGAATAAGAGAATAGAAAGAAAACAACGTTTTGTTTATGTCCTCCAGGTAACGCTATAAAGTTGAATTTGAATAATTCGAATAAGAAATGACACTTTTTTCAAACCATATTAAAATCGTTTGCGCCACGTTTCAGTTGTTTCGTGACTCTACTAACTGAATTTAGTCTTTCTTGCTCCATTGACGAAGAAAACATATTTTCCTCCAGACTGTAACGTATCTGTGTTTTGAAGCGTCGAAGAAAATATAGAAACAGCTGCAAAAATGCTAAGAGACACTCAGAAGAGAAACCTGTCAGGGCCCACTGCAGCAGCTTTTTTGTAATTAAGGTGGCCCGAACCTATTTATTGGCGCGTTGGTTATGTGTTTTAATCGCGTTTTTCGGCAGAAATGATTTAACCGATTTCTATGATTTTTGGCATCCTTAATAAAGAATGGTCGAACTTTAAGAAAATGCTATTTATTTTCTTATAGGTGAAAAAACATTTGAGATATCGGCATATGTTTAAAACCGCATTTTTTTAAAAAATGTCAATAATTTCAAAACCCTAAGACAGATTTTTCTCTAACTTCGGCAAATAAGCCTCAGAGCTCTCTAGTTTTATATCTGCAAGTTTGAAGTCAATCGTGAACGTAGAACTCGCTGCACAAATAGCTGGTCAAATTAAACCATAAAATGCAACGCTTTTAAACATGTGTGAAAGTTGACGCACGAAAGAGGAAACTGCCGGCGGACTATCTCCTATCTTCAGTTGCAAGAAACTGAGTAATCGGAAACATACGGCGAATACAGTTTGCAATACAAGAAAGAAAACTTTATGCTGAATGCGGGGCAAGATAAAATAATTTCTATTTATCGAATTTACTTTGTATTTGTCGCTCTCTTTTCGAAACCTATCTTAACAAGGCAAATTATATTATCTACGAAAAACTCTTAATAGGTTTTAGCGTCGCAGGCTTTCCGTTTTGAGGAGAAATAAGGCCACCAACTCCAATACTTCTAACCGTCCATTTTTCAGCTGCGCTGAAAGCCCTTGTACTTGATGATTTATATATTCAAGGTTTTTAGACTTGACATCACATTCGCACGGGAAGTTTGCCACTTGCGGATAAAGATGAAGAGAATATGACAATCGTCTTATTCTTTTCATTAACCCCAATGGCAAAATGCCCGTGCGAATGTGATGGCAAATCTTTCAAACTTGAATAAATTACCTAATATAAGGGTTTTCGTTACAGCTGAAAATAGATCGGTTGAAGTACTTGAGTTGGTGGCTATATTTCTCCTCAAGACGGGAACCTTCAGTGCTAAAAACTGGTACGGGATTTCCGTACATGTTATATCGTGCTTTGTTGAAATTTTTTGCGAAAAGAGAAGGGAAAATACACAGTAACTTTGATAAACAGAAGTTATTTAACCTTTCCCGCATTCAGCATACGGTTAATTGTTTTTTTTGTATTGCGAACTGTATTCGCAATAGGCTTCGGATTACTCATTTCTTGCAACTGAAGCTTTGGGCAAGAATCCCCTTGTAGATAGGAGATAGTCCGTCGGTAGTTGTCCTCTATTTGTGTGTCAAATTTCACAACTGTGTTAGCATTGCATTTTAAGGTTTAATTTGACCAGCTATTTGTGCAGCGAGTTCTACGGTCACGATTGACTTCAAACTTGCAGATATAAAACTAGAGAGCTCTGAGGCTTATTTGCCGAAGTTAGAGAAAAATCTGTCTTAGGGTTTTGAAATTATTGACATTTTTTGTAAAAATGCGGTTTTAAACATATGCCGATATCTCAAACCTTTTTATACCTGTAAGAAAATAAATAGCATTCTCTCAAAGTTCAACCATTCTTTATTAAGGGTGCCAAAAATCATAGAAATTGGTTAAATCATTTCTGCCGAAAAACGCGATTAAAAAACATAACCAACGCGCCAATTAATAGGTTCGGGCCACCTTAACCCTAACATAGAGGTATGATTGACAACTGAAAGAGGTAGTCGTCGTGTTCTCTTGTTCGACATTTTTTTCGCTTTTATTATAACGAAACTCTCTTGGGCCATAATTACTCCGACCAACAAACAAACATTACAGTTCACTTTCAGCTAAGTTTGAAAAGGCGCGGGGAATAGCTTCTCGCAATAAGAACACTGAAAAACAACCCACTACGTCCCTGAATACATAGCCTGGTCATATGGATTCTGGGTGTTCTTGTTCTCATTAAAACACTCCCGTCTATACAGTAGCTGAAGTTGGATCACAACAGGTGGAATGTAAATTTGTCAGTTAACGGCCAATGAAATTTATGGTTGTCATAAACACTGCATCATGGTTAAACAAACATGTCCAAACGACATTACTACTGTTTACAAACTTCAAAGGGACAGAAATTCGCCTAACTGGGAAACTTGAGAAAATAATATTAGGACAAACGATCAAAATTCGAGAAGTGAGGTAAGAGAAAAATGTGGAAATGAAGATACTTCCGTTTGGCTCGCTTTAATGAGCGTTTAGTCCCATTCCGCTTACGGTAGTACAGTAGCTGATTAGTTCAGTGTGAAACTCTTACTGAAACCATCACACAAAAGGTTCTGTCTGCACACGTGATCCTTTTTTTGGACGGTGAAATATCTTATCAAACAGGAAATAAAGGACAATAACGATCTGCCGTTTGGATCTCAAGAGTGATGATCTTTTTTTTTTCTTTTGAAACTGGTACTGGCCCAATAACCCTAACGTTATGCATGACTGTATGCTGCATTTTATCTTGAACTTAAAGGGACTTCCTTCCCCCCACAAAAAAGTTGTTCCAACTGAATGATTTTCCCATCAGTGGACAGCCTTTAAATCTTCTCTACCAGGTGAGGTATATTTTATGGATGGTGGCGCTGCTGGAGGCCTGTAACCTCACCAAACGTGGTCGCCATCTTGGATTTTATCAAGAATTAGAAATCAGTTAAAAACCGTCAGTGACAATTAATAATTCTTTTGTGCCAAACATGTAAAATACCACATAAATAATAAGCAATTATTGGAAGAGGTTGAGCAAAATATCGTGATTTGTCAGTAGCGAGCAGATCAACTATTTGCCTCAGCCTTCGGCTTCGGCAAATAATTGATCTGCGCTGACAAATCACAATATTTTGCGATACCGAGTTCAAAAATTGTTTTGTCATTCGATCACTGAGCTTGTTTTTTAATAAATAATATCTTCGGAAAGCGGTTGGTGCGAGCTGCCTTCCAGAAGTAATGACAGAGATCACATAAACGAGCGAGGAGCAAGCGTGGTTTCATTTACGCACGAGCAGAATAGTATTTGTAGCCAAAAACAGTTGAACGACATTGCGCATGAGCACACCATTATTTTTAGGCAGTTATTTTCAGGTCACGTGGCGGGCTCTCGGCCAATGAAAAAGAAGAAAAAATTTGCATAGAATGATAATACACTTTGCTTCATTTTAACCACAAGCTTTACTTTTTAAGTTAAAGAAGTTGAAAAAACATGCATTTTCACTCAAAAATGGCTTGAGCACATCCTACTTATGGCAGCATATCTCGTAACCATAGTAATTGACCATCACTAAACTTGTCTCAGCGGGGGTCGCAAACAACAAACCCCCTACCGCCATCCTTGTACGCCGGAGACTTAAGCTGTGTCGCCCCTAAATGTGCGGTTTTTCACCTTGCCTATTAACGGAGTGCATCACAGCCAACCAACTCATTGAGTAAAAGAAACATCAACTTAGAATCAGTATTGAAAAGCGATTGATCAGTGTATTAGTAAATGATGAATAAAAGTCCAAATACTAAAAGCGGAACAGTACACCATTCGAATTATTTTTGCTTTTTGTATATATTACTGAACCTTGGACTTGTTAAAGCAGCGCTGTTACAGAATTGAGCTCTCTCTTTTTTTTGCAGCAACTAAAATGAAAATTTGGCATTTTTTCCCACTGGGTAAAACTGGTACAGCTTATCTCTTTATATGCTTTAATGCATATGTTGAGAGAAACTCTTTTTCAATTCAACTGTTTATTTTACAAGTCAGTTGACAATAGTTGTTCAATAGAATTAGAACGACGGAACTGAAGATTTTTAACGAAACATAATATAGTGTATTGGGTGTAGTAGCTCGGTTGGCAGTTTACTTTCTTTTCTTGTTTTAAGGGCAAAAAATTTAAAAAAAGAAAGAAAAAACGAAGACGTCACATATTAATAATATTGTTCTAAAGCTTTAAAACCTTTAAGGATTAGCCTATAAAAATTGCAAATACCATTTATAAAAAGATATACCCTAACAATGCATTCGATGTGTCTTGGTATCGAAAGAGCGAAGAAGTACATTACAGTTCACTGTCAACTCACCACTAAGGAAGATCAGGAATATACATGTCAAAAGGAAGTTACCACCAGTCATTCGACTTCTTGAAAGCGGATTAGCTCCTTTATCACAGGGCGTTAAGCAATTCCTCAAATAACAACGAAGTATACTAAACAGAGATCTGCAGCTGGAGCCTGAAGAGTTAATATTGTGTGTTAATATGTTAATATTGTGTTAATGTTTTAATATTGCTGACGCAAATGAGTTAAATTTCTATGCATCATACAATATATATATATTTTTTATCATAAATCGTAAACTTTCCATTTTGGGTTCTGAAAGTTGAAAAACAGTGGTGTAGTGATAGAACTGTATTTAAAGTTTGAATTTAAAAATTTGCTTGTGATAAAATGCCTTTATTGCAAGTTGTCACTATAATGAGATACTTCATTAACATTTTGGTTGTCACGGACGCTGACAAAGTGTATTAAATATTTAAAAATCATTAAGGAATAGACTTTTTGGCGAAATCGCAATAAAGAAAAAAATATCTATACAGACTTTACAGTCTCGTAGAACTTTTCCCAAATTCAGAAAAGTTTTCTGATTAAAGTCAAGAAAACATAGACCTGTAATTTCGCTTACATGTATCACTCACTTTTATCACTTTTCATGGGTCATTAGGCACAAAAATTAATTAAAGTTATTAATGTTAACTAAAGGCGGTCTCTCATCGCCAACAGGTGATTATAAAAAGAAAATTTCAACCAACCGGTACCATTCTAAGCAGCTGGTTTTCGAAGCGTCTATATGGCAATAAGGAGTGAATTTGTTTAACTATACCATGGTTGAACAAATTAACAGAATATGCAGGCGACTCAATAAATAATATCTTTAAAAGAAATGATGCAGATTGTGGCCCTTTAATTTATTTCGTTCCCTTCAATACGTTCTTTAGAAATGATAATTATAATAATTAAACAATACTTGTATTAAACGTTAACGAATATGACGTTGACCTTACAAAAAAGCAAAAAAGGAAAAAAAAAATGAAAATGAGAGATTTTATGCCGATTGGACAGGCAGGTTACTCCACCAACCTGGGGTCCCCCACCTCTATGTAAACAGACCCTTAAACGGCAGATGCTTAAAATTGAAGGTGGAGCAGCTCAAAATTCATTTTCATAGGAAACCTTCCTCTGGTTAAATATCTCCACTGTATTCTGTAACACGTATGATAATAATAACAGTAATAAAAGGTAGACAGAAAATTTGTTCTAATGCATGGAAATTTCGATCATTCGGATCACTTTTTATATCCACAAAGCCGTTTAGACCTTTTTAAAATATGGTCATTAAATAAACTTACAAAACAAACGAGCTTAATAGAACTTTTTCAACCATTGGTCATCGATTTAACAAATTGACACCAGGATTGAAGACAAAATTCCTTCCTCCTTCGAACCACGATTCGCTTTTTCCAACCCCCTCTTTTTGATAGCAATTACTGGCGCGCGCGTGAGAAATCACTCAGTTATTGCTAAAATTAAAACAGAATATCAGTAACGTTTAATGATGCAGTTTCTCGCTGCCAACGGGCAAATATGAAAGGCTGAAAAGCCGTTAAAATTGTTTTACCTTCCCGGAGGAAAGAAAAACGACAAAATAACGCTAATAACCAATCAACTACGAACTACTTACTAGTTTTAATTTACTTAATAACTACGTAATACTCCTTTCTGAAAAGTCAATTCATATGGCCTAACGTCAATGCACAAGCGCAAGTCAGTCTTACGGCACTCTAGCACCTTCCTCATCGGTGAGGTAAAAGGTGAAATGAGTTTGCGGAATGGCATGTGGCATGGCTTGCGGAATGACATAATTATGCGGAATGTAATATACGCAGAACGACCCAAAGAAATAAATTAAATTGAAAAGTGCAGTAGATTTCTGGATTACAGATCATGAATGTTTGACACGGGGCGTTCATTTAGTCTCAAAAATGATCTGATCTGTCCGCCGTATTAATAAATAATCCCTAGAATTGTAGCTAGTCCGACTTCACGTTCAACAAGCGTTCTTTTCCCTATAGCGTTTTAACATTTGACTATATTAAAATGGTGGGCAGAAAGAGAGAAAGGATTATCCAAAACACCTAAAATAAATTAGTAAGTATTAATTATAAGTATTACATAGACACGAATGCAGTAAAGCTTATCACTACTTTCTCCTCTATAAGCACGGGCTATAATAATTAGGTTTGAACACTGAAATAGTCAAATCCTCTATCTCGGTAGAGGTGTTAGGGTTAGGACTTCGGAGCTTAAGATCCCGGGTTCAATATGCTTGCTTATGACACTTTCGATCTTCTTTTTTCTCAAAAATATTGAAGGGACTTAGAAAATCTTAAGTTTCAGACTTAGAAAAGATGGGTGACGCACTGTCGCTGATGTGTTATCAGTGGTGAGCTGCAGAGAATGCATGATATTACTGTGACTAGGATGCTCTCGGTGCTCTAGCTTTGTATCTGGAAAGCGTTGTTATCTTCTTCTCATGTAAGTGCGCCCATTTTTTGGAATTTTCTAAACTTATAATTTACCAATAGATAATACAGATCGAAAATTAAATAAAACTGCAAGAATTACTAAAAGTAAAAGAAATGAGAATAAAAAGTATACGATGTTTTCTACAACTCGGGCTATACGTCAGTTTCCTTCCTCGCTAACTACCGTTATAAAAAAGGCGAAAAAATGTTTGAAGCTTAGAACCATAGCCTGAATTTTTAAAACGAGCACATAACTCAAAGGGGTACTATCTCACTTGACTAAAAATAAAGGTGTACTATCTCACCTGACTGAAAAAACAGAGCATAACTGCATCGAGAAGTTGTTTTGTCAACAATGGCAACAAAAATTTATGCGATGACTTACCCGCCAAGTAAGATTCCAAATATTGTGTTACCAGAAATTTGCAGTCAGCTTTCCATAAAGTCGAAACAGGTTCTCCGCAGTATTACCAATACACGATGCGCTCTAGATTAGGTCGAAATAGTATAACGAAAACGGGTCGATTTTTAACGTCTCCTTGTTTTAATGTGCTTCCCGTAAAATCCTCTTTTGAAGCACGCCATATGCTAACTGTTCATAAAATTTCTTGGATCAAAGCAGGTGGAAAATATTTGTCATGGCATCATATAAGTATGTATTTAACGGTGCAACGGTAAAACAGTGGTTTCAAACGACCAATCAATATCAAAGAATATCATATCACATTTCGATACAAATTAGTCTAAGAGAAGAAATTTACCTTATTAGAAATTCTTGGAAAACGAGTGACATAGTGACATACACTAATACTAGTTAGATAACTCGCCAAATAATTTTGAACCTTTAAAAGACATTATTCTTCTTTTCAATGATACAGTGTGCAAAGGGGTAATATAAGACTATTAGGGGCTATTTGCATGATGCAGGAATGACTTTCACTCGGAATAAGTTTCGTTCCAGAATTTGATTCACATGACAAAATGACTGGCTTAAGGTTGATTTCCACTGTCGCGTAATTTTTACGAGCGTACACATGTAAATTTTACGCGCGTAAATAAAATAGAGGCAATGTATGGACGGTCACGCGTAAGCGTGAACGTTGAGCGAGGTTCATCTAGCTTTTACGTTTATGCACGACTTTTCATACATTGCCTCTATTTCATTCACGCATATAAATTTACGCACGTTAAAAAATTACGCGACACTGGAAATCAACCCTAAGTGTACGGACGTAAATTTTACGCTCGTAACAAAATAGAGGTAATGTATGGAAGGCCGTGCGTAAACGCAAGTTGAGCGAGGTAACATGTTCGCACTTAACCTCAAGTTGAAGTAGTTTTTTTTTTTAAAAAAAGAAAGAAAAAAAAAAGAATATTGGCTGCCTCCCCAATTTGCTTAATTCCGGATCAGTGTGAAATTCTTACTGACGCAATTACACACATTATACAAACATGGGAAAATAATTTTATTCAAAACTGAAATTTCATTTTTAAGTTGTTGAGTTTGAAAGGTTCAGAAAGTTGAAATGATTAGAATAAATTAAAAAAATAATAAAGAAATTTCTCGGCTTAAAGTGTGTCTGTGACGTTCGAAAACATGTTGTGAACAATGTAAAAATAAAACATTTTCAGTTGCATTGACGTTAAAGAAAGTTTGTAAATTGTTTTTTTAAATCTTGCTGTTATTTGGCGAATTTTCTCTCACCACCCCCAGCCCATAATCTCTTATTTGAGAGCCTAAAAATTTTCTATTGTCGTAATTTAGTAACTTAGACGAGCAAAGTATTTTTTTGCGCTACGGCTAAACATATAACTAATTAAAATTCCTTTTTTAAGCTCTAAACTTTATTTGTCTCTTTTAAATATCATGTCGCTTGCGGTTTGTCACCGTTCGGAAAGATTGCCTAGTCTTAATGAAACAACCCATTAAGTTAACAACTTTTTACATAGAGTTATGATTGACAACCGAAAGGTAAAATGGTGTTGGTGAAAAGACTGAATAGGTAATTCTAGTCAAATACTTAATAAGGGAAACAGTTTATCGTATTTTTTTAAACTGGTGACTATTGCTTAATATACTTTCAGCCTTTATGTGCCCTAAGCCTATTGCGATCATTTTCTTTTGCGTGGCTCTTGTTAGTAATTTTGTTGAACAGTTTCAATGTTGTAAAATATTCCTTTTTATCCAGTATGGGTAAATTCAGTTTTCAGGATTGTACGTGTTACCTATCCTGTATACTTCCAGTTAATTACTGACTGATTGATAGCGCGTGGGACATGTGTGATGAATGAGACGCATCCTTTAATTCATCTGCATATTTTACAAGTCAATTTGTTTTGAAACATGTTCTGTATACTAAACAGGGCTAAACTGAAGTTTTTTTCTGATCAATTTCAATAAGAAATACGGAGAAGAAATATTCAATCAGCATTTTTCGATTTTTTTTTCTGTCAAAGAAGTGCAAAAAAACGGACGTCGTGAGGGCGCTAAAGATTTAAAACGTTCAAATTCTAAAACAAATAGCCAAATAGGGTGTCTTGCTATTAACATGAACTAGATAAAAATTCAGGCGCTCTATATATGCCAGTAATTATACTCCCCACTTAAGAGGAGCAGAATCGAAATATACATGTAACGAGGAAGCTACCGCCAGCGATTCGATTCAGTCAAAGCCTTTCTTCCTCAGACGATTACAAATGGGATCGGTGATCCCATGTAGCTGACGCCTTGAGAGTGATAGCTGTTCTTGGCTACTTCCAAATGTGTTAATCTTGGTGACGTAATTAAAAAAAAATCCTTTTAGGTTTTTTTTTTATAAATTTTGTGTTTCGTGTTGAAAATCTTTTTGAAAATTTCGATCATTTGTATCACTTTTTATTACCAAAAAGTCTTTTAACCTTTTTTAAATATGATTTCAACCATTGGTCATCGATTCAACCAGTCGACATCAGCTTTTTTAAGTTGTCTGTTATTTCAGGATTGAAGACAAAATTTCTTCATAACTTTGTCAAAGTGTTTTCGAACCACGATGATTCTCTTTTTCCAAAAAAGGCTCTTTTTGTTAGCCAATTATTGGCGCACGAGAAATCACTCACTTATTGCTAAAACAAAAATAGAATATCAGTAACGCTTAATGATGCAGTTTCTCGCCGCCAACGGGCAAACATGAAAAGCTAAATAACAGCTAACTTACTAAAGCATTGAATTGAGGAGGGTTCGATTTCATAGCTCTTACTTTCTAAAGCAACTTAACTTCCACCCTATGATGTCTATTAAAATTGTAATGACCTTGCCGGAGGGTTTAACAAAAGAAAAAGAGAAAAAAACTAATAACCAATCAACTACGAACTACTTACTAGTTTTTACTTAACTACGTAATTCTGAAAAGTCAATTTATATTGCCTAACGTCAGTGCACATGCGGAAGTCAGTCTAACTGCGCTCTAGCTCCCTCCTCAGCGTCAAACGTTGCAGTATTTTTTTTTTTCAAGTTTAAACTTCATAAACTCCACCAAATTTATGCGTAATATATTAGACTTTCCGAAAACTACATTATTACGACACCTCAGTGACGTTTGGTGGTTTAAAAAGCAATTATGAATAGAAGTTAATCGAAAACAAAGATAATCGGGAAAAAGAAAGCCTTCCATCTTCCTCAGATTAAGTTTAAAAGCTGCAAATTTGCGAATATATAAAGAAGGAGTTTAAAAATGGAAGAGTCGATTATTGTATGAGTTTTCGGTTCTTAGAAGCCTTGAATAAAGACTGAACTAAAGTTGTTTGTTTTTTTCACCAGACAAAATCAACGCATCATATGAAATGTGTAATATATTAGCTACCCCATGGGTTATCGATTATTTCATTGCGTTCGATGTGCCAATTTATAATACAACCGACAAAGGAAATTTTCGCGTACGTCAATAAGAATCATGGCTCACAGTAAAAAAAAGTGATGAAGCAGTGTATAATTCCAATCTGTCACCTAAACAATATTCCATTTTAGTTTTTTTGGCCTTAGTTTATTTGCTCGCTTTGCGTTTCCCTCAGTCACGCTTTCTTCCTGTGTATACTCATGGTGCGCCGTTAACATTTTTTTGAGGTTTCAAACTGGAGCCGGAGCTTTTAAAATGGTGTTTTATACAAGATGTAAGCTGGAGTTGTTGTTGTTGTCAAAAAAAAAAAAAAAAAAAAAAAAAATTGAAAGAAATGTTGCCTTTTACTTACCCATAAAATACCCAAAAAGGGGTTATAAAATATAGAAGAAGAAATAAAAAGGAAGAAAGAAAAAAGAACAAAAGAAAGCAAGAAAAGAAAACTATACTTTGTTTGTGTCCTCCAGGTGACGCTATAAAATTGAACTTGAATAATTCGAATACAAAAGTGACCAGTCCTATTTCAAACTATCTTGTCACCTCAGGTGCCACAATTTTATTTGTTTTCCGACTTCGACTTTTTCTGCAGCTACTCTTTCTGGATCCATCAATGACGAAAGCATAGTTTTTTAATATATTTTTCTATTTTTTGTCAGTTTTCAGTGTTTTTAAGCGTTGCGCAAACTACAACTAGCTGCCAAAATATTCTGAGACACTCAGAAGAAAATTTAGTCTGTTTCAGGCATTCAGATTGTAGAGCGCGGGCAAAAAATTAGTTGATTGCGAGCTCCCTAGTCTCCTCTCGTTTTCTAACTCGTGGGGACGCGCGACAGAACCACGAGTTATTGCAGCGACGGTGATATGCAAATGAGTCACTCGCTCACTCGTAGTAGACAGACTTAATTAATGGAATCCGAACTCGAGAGTGCGAAGATCTATCGTTGTCCGAAGAAGCACTCGCTCGCCGAAGTCCGAGAGCGTGCATCGTTCGCTGCTCAGACTCAGAGTTTTCTTTGCGGCAAATTTTCTACAATACGGTTAGAGGTCTTACCAAATTTAAGACATTGAGGAGTCTTTCAGATGAGTACGGTGGTTAAATTGGGGATTGGATTTTAAGAGCCTTTGACTCGTCCAGGCGTTAAACCTGACAAGAGAAGATGAGCATTTACTCTTCGACTCCGCCGCAAGATCACGGGGGATATATACTGAATTCCGGCTTGTTGGAAAGTGATCTGAAAGTGACAAAATGTTATGCCATGCCAGTCTTAAGAACCTGTATGAGACGAAAATGGATGTGATTTTGATCATTTATTAGCTTCAAAATTACAGCGGAAATCGAGATAACAGAATATATGTTTTGCGTGCTATTTCGCAGACGAGGTTTATCGGCTTTTTGTAAAGGGTAATTATGTTCTTTCATTAATTCATCGCCATGGAATGCGTTGACATTTTTTTTTCTCGGTTAATACTGCTCTATCATCTTCAAACGGTGGAGGCTTTTTTTGGAAAGGCATTAAATTAAAGACTTATCGCCAAATTTGTGTGTCTCGTCAAGCTAAAGGTGCCGGGTCGACTCCTTCTCTATACTTTTCTTTTTTTCCCTCTTTTTTTTCTTTTTTCCGTTTCTGTTTTGTTTTGTTTGCTTATTTGTTTTGTTGTTTTTCTATAAATATATGCCTAAATAACTGTTATTTAATAGAGTGCAATAAACAGCAAGAAAAGTATCGTGTTTCCAAAGAAAGGATAGTATATTAAACATATGGATAAACAATCCGAATTTCTATCATTTCCCACAATTTACTGTGGGAAAACCAGAGTTGATAACTATCATATGATTATTTTCTAAACATCGTTCCCACGAGTTGACGATAGTCTTTCTTTGATTTCCTCTCGCGTTCCTTTATCGCTCACCGCCTACAATTTAACTCTCTCTACACTGAACGCCTGGAACAGGCTACAGAAAAATCTGCTCTCATTCAGTAAAACCACTGCCGTAGTCAAATATCTGTGGGGTATAAGTTTCACTCCCTCCCTCTCCTCTGTTCAAATTTTTCCTCCAAATAGGCCACTTCCGAGTTCCAAAAACCCTCACTTTCAAAATGAGGCTAGGTGCACAACCTTTCTGTGAAAATGAGTTTTATTTATTTTACTCGCCGGGAAATGGCTTACTGACATGCAGTCACGTGTCAACAGAAGTAATATTTCTTTGTAGGATTTTTATGCTATTTCCTTTAAGAATTAAACTTAAACATATAATGAAAACTTGCCAATACTCTGTTTTCTAACAGTGGCTACTAAAACAACTTCACGTGCAGTCTACGTGACAGTCACGTGTCAACAGGAGTCATGGTTCTTTCCTCGTGCAGGGCATTGTCAATCTTGCTTTTCACTCCAACCGTTGATCTTAGAGAGGCACTGCTAGGTTCTTTTGCACAACTTGGTTCATTTGTCACCTTGCTTGACCACAATCCGATTGTATTGCGGTTTTCTTGAGAGTTTTTCACGCTTTTTGCTGCATTCCTCTTCTGCATTTTTCTAGAGTATGCTGCACGTACGTCGCTGTTTCTCAAAACGTGAAGTATGAAGATGAACAAACCCTAAAAATGTGTGTATCGACCAAAAAAAAAAGTTAAGTTCCTTCATAAGGGTGAGAGAAAAGAAGAAATGAAAGCAAAATTATAGTCAATGGTTAATCGCAGTACATGGTATCAGGTACCGCCCACCATCTCTACTATTCTATGTTCTGTCATGTTAATTTTCTCGATCGCTACATTCCTTGACACTACTGTCAAAGTCTGGAGTAAACTTCGAATGCTTGTGTGGCAAAATAAACAAATAAATAAATGAACGAATGAGTAAATAAAAACGGCTTTTTTAAGTCACTGAGCTAAGTACTTTGATAAAAGAACATTAGCTATATGATTAGAGCATCCGAAAATTGAACTTGCTCGCTGTCAGTTAGCCTGAGAAAACAGCTGCCATTGTGCCACGCCACCACTGGTTTCCCCGCGTAATGACGTTCGAGAAACGATCGAGAGCGGAGAAATTCCATACTGATTAAGCGTCGCTACTCAGATCTGGGTAGTGCTTCTGATTGGTTAAAATTTGCTTCATTCAATCAGAAGCACTTCCCAGATCTGGGTTGTGACACGTCGTCAGTATGGACGTTCTCCGCCAAACGTCATTTGTTGGGAAAACCAGTGGTGACGTCGCGAAATCAGGGCACCCAACGTCAATTTTCGGAAAATATCTGTTCGGAAGACGATTTGAGATCTAGAATTTTCGGAAAATTTTTTGTAAAAGTTTTTGCTTGCCTGCCTCTCCTAGGATTTTCGAACATCTAAAAAGTGGTATAATTGCCCATTTTTAACGGATTTTTACCCTAAAAAGGTCACCTAAGATTTTCGGGAGCCTATTTTCCTGCTGAAATTTTCGAGGTAAGGTAAGTTTTGATCCTTATAATTTTCGGATCACTAGACTTTCAGCTAGGAAAGGCGAACAGATGAAAAATTTTTAGAGGATAAAAATATGCCTGTATCTACCGTTTAAATACTAAAATACGTTCAACAATGCTATGAACTATCTTCTCAATCGTTTAGTGCCCTTGCGAAATGTCGCCTGTTTCCTCAAACTACTCAAACAGTTAACATATTGGATCTTCTAGTACCTGCAATGAGTTGAAAATGGTAAAGATGTACTGAAATACGAGTCCAGCATCAGTGACACTTAGGACACCAAATACCCAGGTCAGTCCCAAAAGAGGAAACAAAACTGCGCATGCTTTAACTCCTTGTCGAACTCTTTCCAGATGAGATGTTTTGTCAGCGTGCATTCTTAAAATCTCATGAACCACTCGAGCTAGTAAAACTGAGTTTATCTGTGTGGAAACAATGCCGATGAGAATAAGATATCTTTTGATGGCAGAAACCTTAGACCCTGTTTCTTTCTTTCCCTCAGGTCTTGAAAATGATTTTCAAGAAATATATAAATAAATGAAACATAAAATATAATCGATAAATAATCGATCAAAGCACGGACGTATGAAACATTTCAAGAATATCACACTTTGTATGACGTCACAGCCTCCCCTCCACCGCAGCGCTCTATCCCAGATGTGTTTATTACCCGCAAATGAATGAATAAATGAAATGCCGTGGATTGAGAGGACAATAAACGTGTCCTCTTTAAAGTATATATTTACATGTTAACAGTAAGCTCTGACGTCAGCATACAAGGGCGCCACTGGTAGCCGCCATCAGTCCATTTATTGGCTAACTGCAACCCACCAAGACTATGATATGAAAGGTAGCTAAATATTCTGGTTTTCTTTTTTCTACATGAATCGTTATTGATTTCAGTTTTACGTCTTACATTTTCATGGCAAATATTTGATGATTGTATCAATTTTTAATCAGTTACAGATGAGCCTCAATATTCTGTAAGCATTTATTTTTTAAGTTGTTCTCTTAACTAACTTATTCACTTATGGAACATTTTCACTTTCTTACCCTTACCGTGCAAACTAAGAGAACAGGCGCAACAAACGTCCAGATAAGGTTATTTTTGAAGGAAATCCAGCAACTTAAAAAAATAAACCAAATCAAGGTGTTACTAAGAAAGTATTGCTTGCTAGAACTTTAGAGTTATAAATTTTTTTTTGGAAATTTTGGAGAAAAAGTACAATTGTACTGTCGTGTCTATAATAATTCCTCCGAAAAAGGCAGTTTGAGCAAATGTCATAAGCAACTTTCAATGTAAAAAATAGATAAATAAATAAAAAATGGTAATAAAAAAATAAACAGATTCTTGAAACCTCCAAGTTCTTCTTGCTCCGTTTTGTTCTTATTAAGATCTGGCTTGTTTACTTACAAATGATCTTGAACATAGCTTCCTATCCCGCCATCTTGAATGGAAGCAATCACGATCGATAAAACCACAATCAAAAGGGAGACGCCTAAGGTTTGATTGAAAACGAAATAGAGAAAAATAACAATTTAGGCTCAGTTGGGTTACGTCAGCGTAGCACTCCTATGCGAACTGTGGTGTTGTACAAATTCCTCTGAATAGCAAGTCTCAATTGTAAGTCCTTGTAAGGGACGGACCATTAGAAAACTTATGGGGGGGGGGGAGGGGTGGGGGCGGCGAACTACAAAAAAAATATTCGCGCAAGGGACAGTTAAATGAAAAAAAAATCATGCACGCCAATTAACCTTAAAAAATATTCATGCCATGGCCAAAAAAAAAATCATACAAGGAATTTGATAACGAAAAAAAATTACTGCAGCTCGAAAATTCCCCACCTCCACCCCCCATAACTTTTCTAATGGTCCGTCCCTTAGAACGTAAGGAAAGTAAGATAAACCAGGAATCAATTAACGAAATGCTTTTGATCCCGGAAGGGACTAACAAGTCATGACCTCTTGACTAGATCTACCAACGGGCCATTTTCTGTAGTAGGCTGTTGCTTTAATACTTACCCCAGGCCACTCCACAGAACAACCGCAATCTGATGACCGTATTGAACACTTTGACAACCATCAGATACAGGTAAACACCCTCAAATAACATACAAGCAAATCCCGCCAGATAGAAGTAATGAATCATGGCTGCTACAAATACACACAGTTCCTATAAAGAAACGGGATTGATTCACCGTCATCACATTGCCCATTCTTCAGTTTCTCTTGGCCCCAAGAAAAACTGAACACAATGCTTATGCAAAATTTTGGGGTGACAAACAAAGAGCATTATGGTATGTTATGGTATTTTCTGGAGTGGTCAATTAAATTAAACGCGTGAGGCGTGATTTGGCCTAGCAGCGTCATGTGTGATTTACTATTTTTACAACGCGTGACGCTTGAGATTCCTTTGAAAATTCCGGGATGGCTGATGTCATTTGAAACTAGAAGAAGACTGAGAGGCATAAAAAATATATAGTTATGACACCAACTTCTTGCACTTTTTTCTCGTTCCTCTACCTCTGATTTCCTCAGATCACATGACAATAGGATAGGCTCCTGATACTTGTTAATGTAGTTAATACTTCATTTTATTACTCTGTAATGCGTGAAAGGTATTCCCCTCCCCTCCCCCACCCTTTGCCATCCTGTCCCTTTAGCACATTTGTGTAAAATCGAGGTCACGGAAGTATGCCATCTAATGAAATTGAGTTATTCAAGACTCAACTCGTTTACATCCAACGGTCTTTCATTTTTTATTTTTGTTTTTACAGTGTTTTGGCAATCAATTTATCATCCAAGCCAACAAAATGCTCATTTTTTCTTTATCTTTCAGATTAACCAACATCTTTAGCTTACCATAACTTCTGTGGCCTCAATTCCAGCAAGAAACGTGATTTGTGCTATCGCTATGGCGACCACAAGGTTAAAGCGGATTTGAGTTTGGTCTTCTTTCAAATCCCTGAAAGAGGCAAAAAAATAATTGAACACCGTTGACATTTTTTCAAAGCGGGAAATCCCATCTGAAGGTGCGTCTGCTTCTTCTTAATTAAAAATCATAAGTGAACGTCTGACAAGCTAATCCAGAGCCTAATTGCGCTTCGAGGGGTTGTGAAGAGGGCGGCTGACTCCCCGTTCCCCTCCTTTGTGGTTTTGTTATTGTCATAATTTTGCATTTACTAAGTATTAAGATTCCATGCAAATAGTTTAGAAACAAAGCATGTCTTTATATGCTATGGTTAAACATTTGGTGCTGAAAAATCTGTTTAAAGCGCTCGTTGGACGATAATTTTCTACAGCCCCATGTTTTTCTGTTGAACGTCTACTCTGTTCAAGCGCTTACTGTTTGAATGTTGTAGGCGACAATCTACTGTAGGTTTCACTCTTCCCCAGGTTATGCTTGGTGCATTTGAAACCAAGATGCGTGAGTTAAAAACGCTTACCTCGACCTTGGTTATTCCGGATATCACAAAAACAAAATCTAAATGTCTGAGCTCTTTGATAACGGTATATTATTTGTAACTCACATGAGGACGTAATATGCAACAGCGGTGAGTGCTTCTCCAATAAGCGACAGAGCACACCCAACGTAAGTAATGACCTTCAATGCCACCTTATGATCTGCTGGAACCTGTTTGAAAGATAGTTTAAAAACTGTTTGCAAATACGCCAAATCAATAAACCACGCTTTGGCATGTAAGAAGGGAGGTTTTGTAGTTCAGAGACATGATACAATCCGAGATCTTCTGACACCACACATCAGTAAAGTGTGCTGAAATGTGGAGACAGAGCCACTACTGCAACCACTCGACAATGAAGTATTCAACCTTCAGTCCACTGTTACAAGTCGAGAAGCGAGACTGGATATGAAGGCAGGAGGTTTTTGGACACCAGGAGTAACGGCATTCTTTGACGTACGTGTAACGCATGTTAACTGCCGGTCCAACCAGGGCAAGTACACAGCTACGATCTTCAAAGAGCAAGAAAACGAGAAGAAGAGGAAATACAACCAGCGAGTGATGGATGTATAGATTGGAACCTTTACACCACTGGTGTTTGGTACAAACTGGGGCATGGGACTCGACTGTCAGAACTTTTTAAGAACTCTCGCAAATAAGCTTTCGACTAAGAACGATGAACCCTACGCCAGCGTTATTTCCTGGCTTCGAATACAGCTCTCATTTGCTATATTAAGAACTGTACACAGATGCGTCAGAGGTTCTAGATATCCATTCAAATCACGTGAGGTTTCAGAAGACTTCACTTTCGCTGTAGCTGGTCTACATCTGTATTCATAATTTTAGGCCTAGATTTTTGATAGTTTTTTTCTTTAGTAATGCTTGATTTTCCTTTTCCCCCTCTTAAAGCATTCCAATTGTAAGTAGTTTTCTATCGTGGACATATATTTAGTTTTAAATTAGTATCTTAGAATTCTGAATTGTGAAGGGGTTTTGCCGGAAATTTGTATTTATATAATATTGATGTGGACGTTCTATTTTTATGAATATTTTGCAGAAGTTTTGTGTGTAGTTTTTTATAAGATTTTTATAAGATTTTAATAAAGAATTTTATAAAGACAAATATTGGCAAGAGTCAGGGCCCCTTATTATTTTGCAAAGAAGTACCCTCAATGGCGAAAAGAGGCATGGCCTCCTTATTACTCGAGTCACTAAGACTATAAGTGACAATGTGAAAAAGGGCTCATGGCGCCACGATTGTAGATGCTCCCCTTATTTATTTTAACATTCATGGTACAGTAAAAACCCGCGAGTAAGAACCTGTATTTTCCCAATTTAGCCCAGCAGGTTCTTACATAAATGGTATAATTAGCAACCTTGTCCTCAGGGCTTTTCCCTTGAGGACGCAATATGTAACAGCGGTGAGCGCTTCTCCGACAAGCGACAGAGCACACCCAACGTAAGTAATGACTTTCAATGCCACCTGATGATCTCCTGGATCCTGTTGGAAAGATAGTTTAAAAGCTGTTTGCAAATACGCCAAATCAATAAAGACAAATATTGGCAAGAGTTAAGGCTCCTTATTATTTTGCAAAGAAGTACCGCTGTACTCTAAATGGCGAAAATAGGCATGCCCTCCTTATTGCTCGAGTCACTAAAACTATAAATGACAATGTGAAAAAGGGTTCATGTCGCCACGATTGTAGATGCTCCCCTTATTTATTTTAACATTCATGGTACAGTAAAAACTCGCGAGTAAGAGCCTGTATTTTCCCAGGTTAGCCTAAATAGCTTCTTACATAAATGGTAATTAGCACAAATTTAGGCTATTTGAGGTTCCTAAATAAGTTTTTATTTTCTGAAGAAAAAATACATTGAATATTTAGAGGTATTCAGTTTATTCTTTATGTCAAATCTGCATATCAAATTAAAATTTATGTAAAAATCAATTTAAGAAGAAAAACTGAGGCAGTGACAACATGAATTTTAAATGTAATTTTACATGTATTGTAATGCCTTGTCTCAGCTCCAACAGTTAATTTAACTATATCGTTTGAATGACAGTTTGTAGCTCAACTATAGATTAAAATTTTTGAAATTTATGGAAGATATCTATATTTTCACATCTACCTCTCTGGAAATCTGCGATATTAGTCAGAGAGAGTATAGCTATAAATCGCAGATACTAAAATCTGATCCAACGCTGGAGCGATATATCCTGAGGTATATCAAACATGGAAACACAACAACAATAAAGCAATGTATGGAAATTGAGAGAATTTTTCATAGAACCTGTTTCACATTTTAGGCTAAACAGGTGCTTGTGTAGAGGTGCCCTAACTAGCAAATTTTAGCCTAAACGGTTCTTAAAATCTCGGTTCTTACTCGCGGGTTGTTATTGTATTGGGACATGCGGAACTGAACAAGCCAAAAAGCTGCTCCAACTAACCTCTCATTGTCTGCTCCAACGTGCATAAGAACAGCAAAGTTTGTGAGGTGGTTACAAGTGCATGTGATTTCCGTTTTGGTTCTATTGACCACTGAACATCCTTTGCTTGACCAAAAACCGTTGAAATTTGATCTGAAATATAGTTTCGGAGTTGTATGACTGCTTAAAGGGAAAGGCCAATCAAAGGGCAGCAGATTATCAACCCTAACGGCATAAAGGTCGGTAGCGAGATATTTTCTGTATCGCATTGTCTAATTATTATCTACAATAACTATAAATCAACTCATCAGTAGTAATAACCCCTGATGTAGTTAAGTCCTTTTAGATGCGTGTTGAAAAATTATGTCATACTTACTTGACGGTAAAATCCCAGAAGACACAATGAGTCTCTAATCCCTTAAAAAAGACATTTAAGGTTTCAGGTAAGATAAAACTAACAATAATCAAAGAAAGGTGAATGACTCTTCGGCGTCGTGAATATTTTTATTCCTGGTACTAAGTAAAAGCGACAAACGAAACACAAAAGAAAGAAAGTGCATAATTTTACAACGCCTTATTAAGGGGTTACACCGTGGCTAGACCGCGAACGGTCGTCGGGTTCTTACCTCACTTCACTGCCACGAGCGGCGAGCGAAGACTTGAAATTATGCAAATTAATGGTAAAAAGGACTGCCCTTGTTCCTCGCGGCTTTGCTGCTCGCCCCTAGCGCATGCTCACGACCTACTCTATCTCGGAAGAAAAATAAGAGCCAGCTTGCAGTCTACCTCGTGGTGAGTAGTCCGCAAGTTTTAAGCCACTAACTGAGTTTTCTTTGATTTCAAAATGTTTAAGATTACGAAGAAAAAACAAGAATATCCTAAAACAGTATAAGCAGTTATCAATCAATCCCTTCTCGGCTAGAGAAGTTAGCATGCTCATTTTTTATAAGTAGATTTTAATCACAGTTATAAATTAACTTACTAGCCAAAGAACATACCTCATCGTAACGTAATGTAACTGACAGGTTTTTCTGAAGGAGGACCTGGGGCCTGGGATCTAATGTGCTGCCTATTATATTACTTAGCGTGAAGTTCATGATAGTTTTACTGTCAGAAAAAAATGAAAAGAGAATTTATGATTACAGTGTTGTAGAATCTCTCTGCAAAATTTCAGTACAAAGATTTTTAAAAGCAGCGTCTGAAAAAATGGTCACATACGTCCCCCTTATCTACCCACCCTGGAAAGTACATTATGGTTGTTTACCATTTACAAAAAGATTACGGAAAATTCTGTTGAAAAGTAAATGGAAGACGCCTTTTTGGGTCCTCGTTCCAGCGGAAAATTTCCGGGAGCAACGGAACATCTGAAAATTCGGACGGAATATTTCAAACGGAAATTCGTGTTCCATTTCTTCAAACCATCGATCTTTGATTCCAGTTTCACGCCTTCGCGATCGTTTTCCGATAAATGGAACTGACTCGTACAAATGATAAACGCGATTCCGGGGCGAAATTTACCAGTCCTGAATTTTGCGTACCATTTGCCTAAACCGTGGAGCTACCGGTTTGCCCATAGAGAATGGTAAACAGCCTATAACACAACAGTTTATTAGAATTTTGTTTCCTGAGTGATTGCTTTGTACGGAGTTGGAGCAAAATTTTGTATTTATTCGTCTTTGGAGTCTCCCAACCCTTAACGAATTTGTCCTTTTTAGAGTTAAACTAGAAATACTTTTAACCGGCAACACCTCGCGAAGCCATAAAGGGCCAGCACTATACATGAATAAAGAAAACATGTCAATAGGTAAAAGATATTTAATAGTTAAAAAGGCAAAAACAAAACGGCCAAAAAGGGGAAAAAATGAAAGAAAAAATGCCTTAGAGGAGAGTTGAACCCTGTCCACATGCATGCAAAGTCGTTGTACTGTCGCAATTTGTAATAATCATCGCACTTTGTAATACCTGTCGCAATTTGTAATAAATTCATCGCACTTTGTAATACCTGTCGCAATTTGTAATATACCGTGTCGCACTTTGTAATAAAAAAGCTGTCGCAATTTGTAACAACCGTCGATCGCACTTTGTAATAAACTAAGCTGTCGTAATTTGTAATAATTCCATCGCACTTTGTAATAACTTTTTGAGAGTAATTGAACTTACTTCGTCAACATTAATATAATGCCAAAATATGCATGGTACTTCATAAACAAAGATAATGACGTCTGCTGGCACGTAACACCTCCGCTCATTGAAACATTTAACTTTATTCACAGTCCTAAACATTTTTTTCAGATTAATGTTGATTAGTTATCTGACTTACGAAATGCTGTACTCTTAAACCTTGTTATTGTAGGTGGTTTTCATTCAGTGGTTACCCGGCGGGTGTACTTCCTTATATGGCCAATACGGGGATGTGCCTCTAGACAGAGCATTGTCAGAGTACAGGATCTAGACAGAGCTAGACACACTAGACACAAACAAACCATTATTAAAAAGCATTTAATTTCCGCAAATCGTAACATCCATCCTACATCATTCGAATAAGGACACCACGAGAGTTCAAGCTTTCCTTGTTAGATCTTATAACAGGTCGATACAACACGTTGTGCACCGTCCTTGCCTAACGCGCAATCTTAAAGAAGTAATAGTGGCTTCCATATTTTGGCCAACTTAATCAAATGAGGCCTGGAAAGATTCAAAATGTTTACTGCAAATAAAAAAAAAATGTCACCAGTGGCAAACCGTCGAACCACAACAGAAACCTAAAAACAAAATCCAATTAGTCGCTGGCCAATACCTTCGTATGTACCTGTTTTTATAACACTCACTTGGAGTCTTACACTGAGCCGGCTGGGCATTTGGCCCATTATTCTCACTTGATTTGAACCCATATAGGATCAAAAGGAGTACTCATTCCATCTTAAAACAATTGTTTTCTATAAGGAGTCCTCTAAAGCAAATACCATGGGGCCGGGATAGTAAAACATTATCCTTCCCTGCGTATATACAACTCTTTCGAGCGTGTTCTGGATTACTGTTTTTCCACAAAATGGACGGATGGAATAAACCATCCATTACTACTTGAGTTACCCTATCTAAGGATCAAACCAAAGACACAAGGCCAACAACATAAAAAATGATACCCTATTAAAGGCTCGAGATCCTCAAAAACCATACCCTATCAGACGGTACTTACCTATCTAGCCCATCCATATATGGGATTATCCCCCCCGAAGACTTCACGTGTCACGTGGCAAGCAAACATGGTTTTGGACGACGAATGCCAGGTTATTCATGAATTTTCTGTTGTTAAATGTTGCTTTTGTTATTTAAATATTCTTGAATTTAAACATGATTCATATCTTTTTGGTGATATGTCACAGGAAGTTTCATGTCTTTCATAAAAGCTTTTCTAGTTGGTCACGTGATTAATCAAGGCAGAAAAATTTATAGCGGTAGACATGCATGTTTGACCAAAGAAAATGTTACGGAGATGTTGCGTGCTAGCAGACGTCATCATCTTTGTTTATGAAGTAGCATATTTTGGCATTATATTAATGTTGACGAAGTAAGTTGAATCACTCTCAAAAAATTATTACAAAGTGCGATGGAATTATTACAAATTGCGACAGCTTAGTTTATTACAAAGTGCGATGGACTGTTATTACTAATTGCGACAGCTTTTTTATTACAAAGTGCGACACAGTTTATTACAAATTGCGACAGGTATTACAAAGTGCGATGGATTTATTACAAATTGCGACAGGTATTACAAAGTGCGATGATTATTACAAATTGCGACAGTACAGTCGTCCCATAGACTACTACGCCACATCGTGGCCAAACTATTATCAGTCGTTACAGCATTTTCCCAAGAAATTCTGGTGGTAGAAGCCGTTTGTAGTGGTGGAGCTGTGTTAATCAATAATTCAAGAGGTATATTTCAGGAAAATAAGCACTGTTTCAGCGTTAAAAGCGTTAATTTAACTCATTTCATTTGGAGAATAATGGCCGACTAAGGCGATAGGTGTCTCCCAAACCGTCGCGAAGTCCCTTGCTGACGGTCGTTGTACAGTTTGCAGTTCCCTGCCATACGCATGAGGAGAATCGAATACACAAAGTAAATAATTTTTCACAAAGGATGAATAGACTCGTTAGCCTTTTACGAATATAACATGATAGTGCACCTAGTGGAAATCGTGTTGCTTGGTAACCTGAAAATGTACCTTGACCACACAATCGTCGAAGTCACTGCGACTACTTACCCGGAAATCCGATATACAGCTATTTCGAGAAAGGTTGTCCGAAAAAAAAAATGTGCACGTGTAAATCCCGAAAGATATTATGGGATATGATCAATACACTTTTCCTGGCACTGTCGATGTCGAACCTACTTTTCTTGCTTTCCTTTAGCACTCACAACTATACTCCATGGCCTCTAGTGCCATTCTTTCAAATTTCTTTTGAAAAACATTGAACCTAAAAGCCCCCACAATACGTTTCGGGCTTGTCGCGTGCACTTTTTCCGACAACCTTTCTCGAAAAAGCTGTATATACAAAGCCGACTCGTATTTTTGTCTCACTGTGCGACACACGCACGCTCCACGAGCTATACAAATTTAGACATGATTATAAACCTTCGCTACGCGAGGCGAGGAATTAATTGCGGATGACAAAAGAAGCACGCAATCCTAATCTTTAGGTTGTTATTACGCATGCGTCGCATGTATGTAGCCAGCGTTCGTTTGGCTTTCCACTAAGAATGAATGGAATGCATAGAACGCAATTTGATCGAGCGCGTTTGGACCTTCTGTCACTCGTAATCTGACCACGCTTGTTTTGACTATCTGTAACGCGACACTTACGCAAAGCACAGCGTTTGAGCAAAATCGTTTTGACCTTCAATCGTTGTCGCCGGCACTTGTTCTAGCTTTGGTTATTACTACTATGTTTTGTATGTAAGAGATGAAAAGGCCTATATGCCTAACCCGTTCAGTCCAACTCTTTCTCCACCGGGTATCCACTTCCTGACCTCACCATGGTAGAGCGTGCATACGGTGACAGTGTCTGAGATAAAATTAAAGTGATTAGGTAAAAAAGTGAAATGTTTAGCCGATACCGAATTTAACATCAAGGTCTCTGACCTTTTATTTCCCCTTTCTTGAGTTAGCATAATATAGGCTATTTGAATTCTTAACTCAATCTTAACAAATTCCAAACAATCTTGCTGGTGCCAAAGTGCTCTGAAATGGTCGTGTATAGTACAATATTTGAAAAGCTGGTAGGACTTATAAAATAAATTATTGGTCGCTACAGTGCCAGTACTCATGATTAACTCATAATTAAGAAGCTAGTGACACTGTTTTTACCTTGTGCTTTGAAGTTTTCCGAAGGAATGACAATGTTCTCTGTTCTATTGCTTTTAGAGCAAGCAATCGGTTCCGTATTGTTTTCCAAAGCCCTCTGAATCTTCATTTCTACAAAACCAATAACCAATAACTATCTGACTGTAAAGCCTTATTAATGTAATATGTCAGTTAATATGAGCATCTAATTAGAAATAATAAACTGGCAGCACATCAGAGCGGAAATAGAAAGCTTCACTCGACAGAAACAGCTCTGTTGTACGTTACAGATCAGTTGCTACAGGCTATGGATAACAAGAAAGTTTCCATCATGGTCTTATTAGATATGTCTAAAGCATTTGATAGTATTCGACACGACATCCTGTTATCCAAGCTACAAAATCTCGATTTTTCCCAGGGTGCATTGGATTGGTTTCAGAGTTACCTTTCTAACCGACAACAGTGCGTTCGAATTGGTGACGCAGTTTCTAAAGTACTCCCACTTGAGTTCGGAGTTCCGCAAGGCTCTATTTTAGGTCCGGTTTTGTTTACAATCTATGTTAACGACCTCCTTTCTGTTCCTAAACGTTGTCTATCTGCCTCCTATGTTGATGATTGTAAATTGTATTTGTCCTTTTCACCTGCCGAATTACCCACGTCCATCCTCGCCTTAAACGAAGATCTTACGAGAATATCTCAGTGGTGCTGTAAAAACTCTCTTTTGATTAATCCGGACAAAACTAAGGTTCTAGCTGTTGGATTACCACAACTTTTAAAGAAACTGTCATCATTCAGTATAACACTTTTTGACAAGGAAATAACACCTGTGCCTGTCGTTAAGGACTTGGGTGTTCTTCTCGACACACGCCTCAGTTATAACCAACATATCACTGAGATTGCCTCTAAATGCCTTTTTAAATTGTACCAAATTAACAGAATCAAGCACCTCCTGGATAGGAAAACACTTCTGTTAGTAATAAATTCATTTGTCTTTAGTAAACTCCAATATTGTTCAACTGTCTGGAGTAATACCAGCAGCAGCAATATTGACAAGTTACAAAAAGTCCAAAACTTTGCTGGGCGAATTATTCTGGGACTAAGAAAGTATGACCATATTTCGGATGGGTTGCGATCGTTGAAATGGCTTCCTATTAGAGAGAAACTCATTCTAAATGACGCTACTATGATGCACAAATGTATTAACAAGCTTGTTCCAGACTATCTTGCTGATATGTTTAAATCACGTTCTCAAGTCCATAATAGACAAACTCGATCATCTGGTGCTTTGGATATACCTTTATGTCGCCTGTCAACAGGGCAGCGCTCCTTTGCTTTCAGAGGAGCCAAACTCTGGAACTCCTTGAATGATAACATTAAGTCCTTAAAATGCCCCAGGAATTTTAGACGTCATCTTGCAATTGTTTTATTAAGTTGATATATTATATTATTGATATATATTTTGTAATTATAATATTATTGTATTTACATTCTCAATTAATTTATATATTTGTATTTTTTTATTCTATTGAGCTGAAAAGCCCACTTAGGGAGCATCAATAAAGTGTATGTATGTATGTATGTATGTATGTATGTATGTAGTTATTACAATATTTTTAAGATGTCATAAAATTTTAGTGACTTTTCCTTGTGAACTAGTTATACCACGCAATTTTTATAGCGGATCCCCATACCTATAGAAATTGGTTACCAATCGATGTGAAATTTTTTTTCCCCAAACCTTTGGTGATATCATTTTTTTTCGTGACATTAACAACTTGACGATGTAAGATTTTTTTTTCCAGCATTATAAGCCATGAAAAATATTTCTCTTCAGTGCAGAATTTTTTTCCGCCAGCTATTTCCTTGCAAGAATTATTTTTTCCATGAAATCAGTCTCCAGGATATTTTTTCCTGAAATCACCCATACCCTCCCCCTCAACAGTCAAATGGTCGGCCATTAAGATGTAACGTACACCCGCCGGTACACCCCTCTCACTTCCAGGTTCGCCATTTCTTAATATCAATTCAAACAATGAGAGGTTTTAGTTTTTTGTATAGCCCAATTTAGATTTAGTAGATTAGTCTGTCTATCCTATGTCTGTTCGTATTGAAAAAATCAATACCTGGGATGGTTTACTCCATAAAAAAGATTTCTATTTAAATGGGCTAGTTAATTCCAGCCTCCCCCACCCAACCTAGCTCCTGGTATAGGCCACTCCTGTAAAAAGCTAACCGGTTAATTTACGGCCATACTAACCACTTGATTACACCGTGGAGAACAAGTAAAGGCCAAATATTGTTCATTTTTCCTTGTGAGCGTCAGCATCTAGCGTAAATTAATATGACCTTGAATACGAAGCTGGATATAAATTTTTAAATATTCAACTGAAAAATGAAAAAAAAGACCTGACCTCAGACAGAGCATAAAACTCACCAAACAATTTTTGCACATGTACAGTAACTGCGCTTTCATTCGCTGTGAGATGAGTCTTGCCGTATTTAACTGCAAATGATTCGAGTTCGTGAGTGGCTACCAGTATATTTATGTCATTTCCTCCTGCCGGTAGTTTTTTAAAATTTTCTAAAAAAATTCTGGTTGCATTGATTGCTTCCTGTGAAAAAGAAAAAAAAAGTAAAATGGATTAGAGAAGATATGCCGCTGAAAGACCATCTATTCTTTATCATGAATATATTAAGTTTATATTGAACCTTGTCAACTATCGATCAATATCTGACTTGTCTTTGACCGGCTTAGTGTAATCAGCTAAAGGACCAAGCAAATTAATCAATCTTTGTCTCTTCCGATATCAAATCAGAAAGAAATCATCTTTAAAAAACGGACTAAATTTTTTTCATGCTTTAGTGCTTCATTTCAAGAATAAAAATCATCAATAGTGATCAAGGCCGTATTCAACTTAAGCATCAAGTTAATTATTTGTAGTAGATACGAATTCACCTGTAAGGAACCTTTGTTGCTAACATTGAGAGCCCTAATAGATGAAGAGTACTGAGATACCTACAAAGGAATGTGTAAAGTTTTGTGAGACCCAAGTTTTTCCCATAGTATTTGACTACTGACATCAGCATTTACTGTTAATTTTGGACCCAGTCAACTCTCGCCTTTATTTGCAGACACCTCGCTATTTAACGGACTGTACAGTAGCTGAAAAATATCGAACACATAGTAAAGGGGTAAAATTATCATAGCGTTAGCGGACCGCGTTCGCTTCGGATTCAAACACCTCGGAGCTACCTGAATTCCCGGTGACGTTAACTTGCAATGGTTTGTGGGCCTAGGAAAAAAATCCCCTCATTGAAGAGGCAATCTTGTTATCAGCCAGGTTATATCTTTTATCGAGTTGAGAACTCTTCTTTGGCAAAACTGATCGACAAAGCGATCGTTATTATTGTTCCTGATCGACCTTGATTTATAATTTTCTTGTCTTAACTGGCACCGAGCAGCCTCTTTGAACATTCAGACATAATTAATTGATTTTTTTTCCACCATCTTTTATTCCTTCCTTTTCTACTGTTCATGATGGTCATCAATCGAAATTATCGCAGTTGTTTTCTAAAGCCAACTAATTTTTGTTATCAATCTGCTGCCTCAATTATGCACCTATCAATGTAATGCTGGCGGGGGGAAGGGGGAAGGAGCCAGGGCAAGGGGTGGGGATTTGACTTTTTTTTCATTTGCAATCAAATTCCCTGCCCACGGGCAAATTATTCCAGTCCAATGGAACCAAATTTCCCCACCCCAGGTTGCACATTGCTGTCAATCCCAAGGCATAACCCAAGAAAGGCGGAATAAAAAATATCTCCAAATAAAACTCTGCAATCTTTTATAAACGTTGCTGCATCACCAAAGATACATGTTCCTGTTACAGCTGCAATTATATGTTTTAACCATAATCCGTGTTACACTGTGTAGAATACATAAACCTTTAGGCGAAATTCCACATTTTGTAAGTTTAAATATACCGTTCTTAGTAAAGGGTACAAAGAAAGTCAGTTTTATAAACTTGTTTACACTGATTGTAGCGAATGAGTCATACACTACTCAATTGTACTTGCAAAAATCGACTTGGTTTCTCTTTACTTCCGTTTACTTTGATACCACAGTATTTTAAGAGGTTCACTTGATCAAAAAGATGCTAAAAGAAACGAAATTTGAAGACAAAACAGTGAAATCCACTCAGCCTTTGCTTGTTCACATTGGCCTCCATGACTTCCTGATCTTTTCAAACCGTACAGCGCATACGTGAAGCGTGCAAGCGGGGAAACATATGTCCGGTCTCAGTCTTTTTCGTCCGAGTCAGCAGTCAAATATCTCAACGTCGGGCGAAGAAAGATTCAAATATCCCCTCCCCTGGGAGAACAAGATCAGTCAAATGCCCTACCCCAGGGCCAACAAAGACAATCAAATCCCCACCCTATGCCCCGCCCCCCACCGGCTTTACATTGATAGGTGCATTACGGGAGATAGCTCTCAAAGGCCATAACCAGTATCACAGAAGACAAGCACCCTGATCTATCTACTTTTCATTAACATTTGCACCTTTTCTTGCGAGCTATCAGTTCATATGCTCTCTTGCAAGTTGCGCGAATCTGAGGTGAAATAATTTGTTGCGTTTTTATTATGTTTGTGTTTTCAATAGAAATCTCTGGTTATGAACAATCTACCATAACTCACCAATATATTCCAAGCAGATGTTTGTGTTGTTTCTGATGATGATATTGTTTTTGCTGATTGTGGTGTTGGTGGTTTTGTTGATGGTATAGATGATGATATTAATGCTGCCACTGCCGATGAATTTGTTATCAAAGATAGTATGGGTGACGTTGAAGATGGTGATGTTTTTTCTGTTTCTGCTATCGATGATTGCGCAGGTAACGGTGACAATGCAGTTGTCAATGTTTTTGTCATCGTTGGTATGGGCGATGGTGATGATGGGACTGTTGTTGATGTTTGCGCCATCAGTGTTGATACGAGTGTCATCGATGATGATGATGTCGGTGGTGGTTTTGTTATCAATGATGATATCTGCAACGGTGATGGTGTAGGTGATGACTTTTCTGTTAACGATGTCGATATGGGTGTCGTTGATGATGATGATATTGCAGATGTTTTTGTTATCAATGAGGATATGGTTGAAGGTGATGATGTAGTTGATGACTTCTCTGTTATCGGTGTGTATGACTGTGATAAGAGTGTTGTTGTTGTTGTTGTTGTTGCTGTCGTCCAAGCATCTGTGTGAATATGAGTCAAAAAGATGTTACATACAAAATAAAGCCTGCAGGGTACAAGTTGCTAATCCCACTATTTACAGTTCAATTGAATAAAAGCAAAACTAACATAAAATAAAGCTATTGTAGAGAATAGTGTGCTGACTCGCATAAGACTCGCCAGTAAAGACGAGTTTTCCTTCAACAAGCCCCTCTCCCACCAACGCCAAAAGAAATGTGCAGCCACCTTCAACACGTTGGAACCGAGTAAAAAAAGGGTACCATCATACATAATGAAGTTATTAGTTGAAACAAAATGGTTTGTAGTTGTTACCTGTACTTACAACACGCTGATAAGCAAATAAACTAATTAAATGTATTCTTATGACTGCTCACTTAACGGACGTCCGATCCTATCTGCTAAAACCCCTGCGTTGTTTGTTTCTATGTTTTTAATTTTAAAATATCAGTGCAAGAAATCAATATAATTTGTTACGGACAACATACGGCAATCCCTTTTGTCACTTCCACAACAGCACACTGTGTCATCGTCATCTTTGGGGCATTCACTGTTAAACATGGTGCATGTGATTTTCCATTCGTTACGGCGGCAGTTTTCGCGACATCTACAGTCAGAGTGTGAGCCACACCTCTTGTCATCATCGGCACCAGTACCTGAAGAATATTGCGGGAATAATAGCAATAAGTTTCTTTAATTTAACAAAATATTACCTACCCCCTTTTCTCAATAAAGTTGAGTCACTGCTTCACCGGAGTTAGCCTGGGTGCCAGAGGTTTTTTCTTTCTTTGCACTTAATTCGCTCTTTTATATTTACCGATTTTCGCGGCTGATGAGCGACAAGATCTTTGCCATCCAGTGTACATTGGAGCATGCGTGACATTGGCCGAGCGCCGGGTTAAGACATGTGGATGCTAAATGTCTCTTCTTTCCACAAAAAAAGGACGAATCATTTCAAAAAAAAGAATATACAAGACTATTGATAAAATATGTTCATCAATTCAATTATCATGAGAATCATGAGCTTTTGAGTATCTTCGCGTTTATCTAGGCCTGTAGGGGACAGATCGTTTTTTACGAGGAGGAGGGGGGGGGCGTTTGAGGGAGATACAATTTTCTAAGAGGCTTAATTTTGAGGTGTCAATTAAGAAGATGCACAAAATGTGAGAAGGGTCGAAAAATTTGTAGACAAAAAAAAAAATCGCTTCTTTGCCAGCAACAAAATTTTACCCGTATATAGCTTGGCCCAGCAACCTATCAGCTATTAAACTACCAGGAATGTAGCGTGCATGTACGCACATACGTGGATGAAAAATGCCAAGCTAACCAACGAGGATGACACTTGTGAGAAAGGATCCAGAGGATTCAAAATTTTTGGACCTAAACTTTATAAACTTGAATGACAAAAAGATCTACAACAAACGTCCTCACATGTCTTGCTTTTTAATACAGACGTTTCGCCCTTCGGGCTTTTTCAGTCTATTTACAAAATCAAAACCTGGATAAAACTTCAAGGTGAAAATAAGGTTACATAATACGTTAAAAAAGCAAGACACACACAATTGGTAAATTAAAAATGAGACGGTAAAAAACTGACAATTAATGAGAGTAGGTGGTAAAAGTTATGTCACTGCCGAAACAGAACAGGTTCCCCAATCGGGGCCTCCCAATCAAATCAAAGGGATTAACATAATATAATATAATCCTAGAGGGCACTCCTTAAACAAAACGTAATAAGGTACAAACTAAAGGCCTATGAATGGAGAACCCCATAGAAGAATAACAAAATCCTTGAAACGAGCCCCTGAGTGCATCGGCGGTCAAAGGACAAAAAATTCTTTTGTTAAAAGCTTACAGTTAAAAATAATAAAAAAGTAGCAAAAAAAGGCAATTGAAAGGGTGAGATGTGTCAATTATAGTTTTAGAATTCTATTCTTGGAATTAAATTCCGATCTTTTGTTAATTAAGGACTTAAGGTTGAAGAGTGCATAATTGGGAACGTACGCCAAAATGCCTCTCGACTTCTCGTTGATATTACAGATTTTGCTCAATTGCAATGAATTCAGAGTCAGATAATTGATGTTTGTCTTTGTTAAAATAGACAGCGCAACTTCACAAGTGGTCTGCTTTATAGTAGACATAGTCGACTTGTGGTTGCGGAATCTGATCTTGAATTCATTGAATGTGGAACCAACATACTGAACTTTACATTTATTACAAGTGTCTGGATAAATTAAATTTTTAGATTTACAGTCAACATGTTGTCTAATATCTGATTGCAAAAACGCTCGGTAGAACTGCTACGACACATTTTACTTTCTCTAAAATAATTTTTACATAAATCACACTTTTTACTACATTTGAAAC